GAATGACCTAAATAACATTGACAATGTTATGAAGGAACTCTCAACAGATTACTATCATGATAATTCCTTTCAGTATACTAAATCCGAAATTCCCAGTAGTGCAAATAGACCTGGACTAGAGGAATTACAGTGGTATACGCAGTTGTGTATGACGTAAAAGACTCCACAAAGTAACGTGTATCAGTGGTAGTGAACGATATTTTCCTCAACATATTCAGCCTCTGATTCATTGGCAAACTTGTAAGTTCAGTAGTGAAAGAGTAAAGAGGATCCTGTCAACCCAAGAATACTGTTTTATCCAAAAAGACAAATGTATCACCAGTGGCATAGTTTCAAAGTGAACAGTCAACCGTCCGCATTAATAGGCTTACCGAACAACTAGAAAACCAAATGTCTATCCCACAAAGAACAGATTCACACAATTAAATCAAACGGAGTTACCCATTGAGACACTCATCCATTATCGTAGTGGCTGGAATTCGAAACTTTGAGTTGAACAGGAGCGAAACAGTAGTCGAAGCCATGACAAGATCCCTGAGTAAACCACTATTATTATCACTAGAATTATTATTGATTAACGGTTTTATTCGGTATCATATTTTGGTACAATATAGAACTCTCAGCACGATGCTTCAGCAATTGTAGGCACTATAGTAATAATGATTGCAACTAAACTAAATGAAATGCACACTATGTGTAGGTCCAGTCGGCAACACAAGAATCAAAGGGATAGTCGGACGGAAGAACACAAAGGGATTTCCCCAAACATTTTCACGGATATACACAATAGGATGAGATAGCTACCTGAGGTAGTGTAACCAACTGTACTGGCCAGGTCACACTGATTCTTCAATATCAGTTGAAGACAAACGCATTATTTCCACATAAGGGATAGAAAATGTAATCTTCTTGGAGTCTGGCCATTACTTCTTTTGCGCCGATCTTGTCACTCCAGGCTGACTTTATCAATTAAATAATTTAGTGGAAGGTTCGAGTTAGGTGGCTCTTTATCCCAATTTTGTCGTTTATTGTGGATGTAGTTTTCATGTCATATCAGGAATTTACCTTGAACATCAATATCACACATCACGTCACCGACTCTTCTTACGAGTATGTCCGCATGCCATTCAGGCCCTTATTGTCCAAAGTTCATTACACACACCGAAAACCCATTGGAAAACTGATGTTCTATTCTACTTGCCTTGGGTTTATAATCTCATTATCACTATATATACATGACAGTAAACAACGTCCCGGTCTTCCTTCTGAAAACTGATTCAGCTGGCGATCAACCTTTGGGTAAAGCTGGGTGTGGGATTAGACCGGGTGTTTTTCTCGGTCGTTTCCCTCCCTTGTGATTATTTTGAAGTTCACTAAAAAACTTCTGCTCTCATTTTCGTATCATATGAGGATGGATAGATACTTGATTGCAAAGAAGATTGGATGGCTGATTGAGCATTTTCGAATCCGGACTATATACTCAACACTTAAAATGGCAACCTTACCGTTTTAAATGATCACCTTTGGCTACACATCTATATCTGCTGTTGTGTTACGTATAACTTAGAAGCTTGTATAAGAACAATCCGACAAGTTGCATGTAACAGACTCTAGTTTGATTGTATTATTTCTTTGACCTCTGTCAACGTAGTTATGGAATTTAATGAAGAAGCATTAATTGAGCATAATTGTGCATTCATTTTGGAATACTACATCTAACTCAGCATTAATTCACCTCTATTGGTTAACTTAGATTCAGTTGTGTGATTAATTAGAATACCCTGTACGTGAATCTTCCCGAAATTCCTTTATCTGGTTGCTTGTCTATCTGTATTTCTTAGTCATATTCCACTGACCCAGAAATGCTTGAGATACACTGACTGATAAAAATTATGAACAGTTTGCATTTATATGGTGTTTCGAATTATTTGAATTATAGTACGAACTAAAAGTCCCGGAAATAACGCAATTGAATCAAGAAGTACTAGATGAGCACAAACGAATGTATTGTATTTAGAATTCGAAATCAAGCATTCAACAAGTACAAAGGTATCATTAGTTCATTCAAACATCACAAGAAGGCATCACAATCAACAAATCCTAGTTTGTAAACATGATTCTGTATTGACATGAAGGGGACTTTTTCCTTTATGTGGACTAAAGCATTTCAAAGGATGTTCGTTGTTTCGTAATATACTTCATTTTGTGTTATTTTAGGACTTTTTGAAGTCTTTCTGTTGTGCCATAGCGGTATGGTAAAACTACAGTACTAATCCATGGTATTTCATTCGGATTATTATTTAGTAGTAACACGTCTCGTTTTATGGCACTTTGATATAGCGGGAAGAAAAGTCAAAATTAGGTTGGTTTACTCACTACGATTTTTCGTTCAACATTAATTCCGTTTTCATTCAATGTTATGATTATTTAGTGTAGTATTCGGTTTAGTTTTCCGGTATGACATTTTATTCTGTATATTCTTGTATTAAGTTTACATGATCTATACTCAGTTTGCAATTTGTTATAACTAGTTTTTATATATGTGGTTTCATTCTAATTATTAATAGATGTACGAATCAATGTGTAAATGAGTGTATTTCCGACTAGGGTCGTCATCGTGTTTTGGAGTTGATAAAACTTCAGTTATATCAGTCTGTATTCTCACTTTCGTGTCGTGGGAATTGTGTTGGTTCTTTGTTTTGCAAGTATAAGTAATAAACGATTCCGACATAACAATCAGCGACGACCAGATATAACAAGTAGTATTCAATCTAGAAGACATATAAGTACTTTTAATAATCTCCATAAGAAAATTATCAAATTGTAAAATGTTAATTGCATTCTTTCGTCCTTTTTGTTCGTCCTCCTCGGATGCAATAATCCTGTTTGCTCTTCCAAAGAGATTTAGCGTTAGAGATGTTTTTGCACTGAATGGATGAGCTGAATTAAAGTTGATGAAACGACCTGAGTGCCTTGGTCTTTGATAGATGGTTGGATTTAAAGCTCCACTTAGATTTTTTAACTAAGCAATATGAATATGGTAGGTCACCGTGTTGATTTTTATTCTCGTGCGTAAGAGTGTGTATTGACCAATTTAGAAAAAGATCTTAAGTGAGCCTTTTTTATGACGAAAAAGTATCATCTACATATCTGAGGCAAATTCCTGGTATAATATCATTGGCGAAAATATTTGGTTCTATATATGACATATACATGTTGGCTACAGTCAGGGATACGGAGGATCCCAATGTTTGTTTACTTATAGAATGTCTCATTAAATGTAAATAAGATTGAATTTAAATACAGTTTTAGGGATTTCATAAATAGACTAATCCTTAAAGAACACCTGTCAGATAAATTATCGTAATTCTCTAGTATATATATTCAGCTTGTTAGGCCTAGCATGAAAAGTTCATTTTACTAAGGATTTTATAGGCTTTAAGATACATTATCACCAGTAATTTATAAATAAAAGCTCATACCAATGATAGAGCCACATTTGTCCTCCATTACACTCTTTAACTGACGTATTCTTGTAAGTGTATTGCAGTATATACAAATTGGAATGATGAACTCTTTAGACTTTAGGATAGTTAAGCCTGGAATTTATACATACAGTATCAATTAAACACCTCGAGTAAAACGAAATATACAACGTTTGATAGTTGTTTCAAAAAGATTATTTATTTATTCAGGCCACAACTACATAGTTAAGAGATTTCTTGTTGAAGAAAATTGATTCGAAATTACTTTTTCTCTAAATAAGTGATGATTTCGTACACAGTTTAGTGGCCCGGGATCTGACTCGAATTAGGTCGTATGAATGTTTGTTATTGAATGATTGCTGTCGAAATATATGTGTCGCCTATCCTCATATATTTCATCAACTTAAATCGCGTTAGTCAATAAAGGAATTAAATAAGTCAAATACGAGAATGAATTTCGAATACTTATATTTCATACAATCTTTGATCCAGATAAAGTATTAGAGAAGCGAATGGAATAGAGCGGAGCGAAAAGACGCACAGTGGAGATGGCGGGTACGCCAACTCCCTTTAACCAAGAGTTAATCAATATTTGCAGTCACATAAAATTAAGCTACAGATGTGTGATGAATGGGATAAGAGTGGCACACACATATGAGCTCACATAAAAACAGGCAAGATTGATAAGCGAATAATTAACAAGGTCAAAATGTGACTCAAGTAGAATGAATAGATTGGCCTGCCTGAAAGCTAGAATAGGGTATACGGGCTTAACATAATAACCGACACTACAAGTTTCAAACTATTTACTGATTTGCACAGACCAAACTCTTACTGAATGTAATTAATTGTCGCTTTTGGATGTCAAATAAATCTAGATCATTTTATAGGCTTAAGTTTAAAGTTCAAATTTTTGTATTAAACATATAAATTTAAGTCTAGAAGAAAGTCATTATATTCATTTACAATACTTAATATATTTAAATATCAAAGTGTTTGTTAATGGTTCGTAACCAGTTCTTTTGAAATACACCTATTTAGAAATTTTCCTTATGAATAGCCTCATTTTAGTGACAGTTCAATACTTATTTCATTCGTTATACCAACTTCATTTTTAACTCAGAAGAAAATTGAGGAATAGATAATTAATCTTGTTTCTCGGCTTTGTTAATAGTTATCCAAATGTATTTCTTCTAGAGAGATGGATTCTATCGTCTCGATCCCTCCACAATACTTCCAATTTAGTAGCAACTTTATCTAAGAAAACTTCATGTGGATCACGAAACTGAAGTCGATATCTCTGTTGTGGAAAAAGTCAGCATTATTATATTCAAAACAAAATATTTTACTGTAAAACATTTCTCTCTGTTTGGGTATGGATCTTTTGGTAGGTACAGTTCTTTTTCCCATTTTTTATGGTGTTTTAATGGCTTCAGGAATGAGCTCGGCAGTTTTCGTACTACTGTGTTTTCACAGTTAGTTCCCCAAACTAGAAAGCACAGTTAAATTTGCTTGTTATGCACACTTACTTTGTTGTCTTGTCTTCTTTAGGAAATTGAGATTCATCGGATCTTTTTCATATGTTGTGATAAATTTTGGATGTTTACTTTCATTTGTAGGCGTCAACTGAAAAGAAAGAAATAATTACTAACAAAACAATTTTAACATTTTGGCAGCAACAATAGTTACATCATAGGGTGGAAAATAAACTTTGATATTCGATGTCGGCTGTGCATAGTTTACACGAATACTGAATATTCGATCAATAATAATTGAGAACGAAATTTGTCCAGACTGTCGCTAATTTAACACATAGTACGTGCAGTTAACATCGAGTATAATTATATATATAATTAACTAAGCTACAGTCTGGTCAAATTTCGTTCTCACTTATCATTAATCGAATATTGAGTATTTAAGTTGATGTGATCTATTTGATGATCCGATTATTTACAATCTACTGGTTGTGGCAACTTTATCCAAAGCGCGAAGGTGTGAGTTTTATGTTTTCTATGATTGACTCACTGATTGTATAATCTCGTATCCTTATATCTAGTATCCGGATGGAAGGTTTGCAAGTACAAATCGTAATTCCCTCCGTTATATCAATTTTATTTACAAAAAACTCACTAAATGATAGGTTTCAAACTGTTTTCGTTCAAGGTAATTCAAGAAATAGCTGTAACTTTCAATAGGTTCATGGCCTTCCTTACCATTTACTAAATCTTAATGATAACTTGGAGTAATGATAACATTTAAGCCAAAAACTTACCTCTTGAAACTTTTCATTATGTAAACGTTATAATACATTTTCTGTAACAAAGTATTGGAAGCAAAAGTAATCAAAAGAACCTTGTTCTCCATCTGTAATTCTAGACATCATTTGATGTTTGAGGGTAGTTAAAGAATTCTTGACTTGAGTTCTGTGGTTGTTGGCACTCGTTAGTAGATTGAAATTTCTCTCTACCCATCCGCTAATCCATGTCCCTAAAGATTCTTATCATCTTTATCAACCTAGATGGCTTGATATTTTTGTCTAACGGTGTTACTATTGGGCTATCAAGGTAGTAACTAATAGTCTCAATAATGAGAGTTTATTCTAAGCCTAGTTGCTAAATGAAAATCAAATTCATTGATTGACTAATCCTTGTCACTAAAAACCTGGATGTAACTAATCGAAAAACAATATATATGATAAAATGTGTTTGTTGTAATTAGTATGTTACTGACAATTTCAAGGCATTTATAGGTAAAATTATGACCCAATTCAATGTTTCGATAGGTTCATCACTGATTAACCGTTACAAAGAACACTTTGAAACCTATTTGACCCAATCAGTTCATTGAATCAACTTGATGAAACAATCCAATCATTGTCTAAAACTAGATAAATATTAACTGATATTAGGAAATCATGTTATCTTGATATAGTTATGCAGATGGTGAGTTTACTAGCAGTACATATTTCTGAGAAAGTAAACGGTTTCTTAATATTTCAAGTGTTTTGTTAATCAGTACAACTAAGTAAAAAGCTTAGTTCACGGCCTCCTTTAATCTCGTCAACTATAACTCTTTTTTTTCTCTGATTTTGTTTAATAATACTTTAAACATAGCTACAAATACCATAGCTTCTGATAGTTAAGACTCAAATATTTAGAAGACAGGAAGATTTTGAAACTGATTTCAAAATACCACCTAGCTTTTTAAATCTCCATTTTGGACAAAACTAAACTCATCATACTCCAAAATATTGCTCACTAATATTTAGAGGAATCTGAGACTAGGTACTTCGATAAAAGTCGAAAATTACTCTTGTAGTGATCTACTTTTATGAAGTAAACACGACTGGTATAATGGAAACAATTAAAGTTTCAACCACTTGTACCAGTGATTGTTTTACCGAACTTGTTTGTTTAAGTGTACCAAAAAAGACGCTCATCCATTGTTTGTGACCTTGCACGAACTGTCGTACGCTCAGTAGTCTCGCTTGTGGATTTTGGCGCGATCTCGGTATTATTTCGATAACACGAGATTGCCAACAAATGCATCTTACTACAACCTTCAACTGCCTTCTGATATTTAACATACGGAAGGGTCTAATCTGGTAACTGGCACGTAGTCTTCCTGTAGTGGTGATTATAGTCAACCGCGACTCGACGCCTACTACACTGTATTCTATGCAACTAAATGACCTTTGTAACAAAATTAAAAGAGTTTTGACTAATTGACGAAGTCTCTGAGTTTATTATATATTTTTGTTAATGGTCAGCCTTGTTATGTTGGTTTGGTAATTATTTATTACAGAAAACATTAATTAATTAGGAAGAAACTTTTTAATGGATCAGCACGAAATACATTTTACTTCTAGTTCTTAAGAATTTTACTTCAATAGTGACTAGTCTACTTTGTAAAACGAGCAAGATATAGATTATATGAATTACATCACTGAATCTTAAGACAAAGAGTATGGTAAAATTGCAGTTTCATTCACATTTTATGTGAAGTTTAAAGTGTGTAAAATATATAGAATATCACAAAAGCCGAATATTCTAACAAATATCAGCGACAATGGTGTTTACTACTGAGGTATTTTGTGGAAAAATCAACCAATTTGATTTCAGAATATATCATACCTCAGTGTTACCTTTTAATACATATATGATTGAAAGAAGCTGACAAGAAACCACGAAATGTAGTGAATTCATATTATTTTAGAGCAATTATTGTACTGGCTTTAATAGAATCCGTATTGGGAACTACAAGAAATAGACAGGATATTACATCCAATGACATGTCAGATTGCAGCACTTTAGTGTGCTATTCTAACGAGCAATGTAAATATTTATTATAAACATGACTATTTATTGTTTTAATACATAGTTGGTTTATGATTTAGAAAATCCTTTTAGTATCCTGTATTTTTAATTTAAGCATTGACTACATATACCCGTTTCTTTGTACAATATCAAATACATGATTTCGAGTACCTGTTATTTCTATTGAAACTTATCATTCATAACTAGTTTAAAGGTTATAATATTAGTTAAATCTTCTTATCAGGATATTATTCTATGTGGAGAAAATAGATCAGAATAATCTTTTCATCATCGTAGTCAGATATCACAGTAACGACACAATATAATGATTTAAATAAAATCTAATATTCACTTCCCAAAACATAGTTCTAAAGAAAAACTTACTCCTCGATGGTCATGTGGTTTAGGCATTATGTACGGACCTGGTTTAAACGACCCACATTTGACAAATAAAATCTTAGCTGTGTAAGGTCTCATAGATCTGACAAATTTTAATCTAGGAATTGTCTCTCTATCGTGTTCCCCAGTTGATTCTATAATCTTATTGTCAACACTGTCGTTTTCCTTTTTCACAGTTTTAATTCTTTCAGGTTTTATCGATTGACGACTGTTTCTCTTAGGGGGATTCGGTTCCCACCTGTATAAACTGAAATCTGGTGCTGGTATATTCCATAAACACTTTGGAGAAGGAGCTGGCAAATGTAGTTTATGAGTGCTACTTCGTTTATTAAATGAAACTTTTGCTTCAATAAATGATTGTAGTGGAAATGTGAAACAAGGAAAATTGGTTACAATATTTTCTGACATATTGAAATCATGTTAGTAAAATAACTTTTTAGCACATTTGATCTAATACAACAAAACAGTGACTTCTCGAAGAGATTTAGAATGATTATATGCTTGGTCGGTTAAGCTGTCCTCAGTTAACCTTGCGTAAGTTCAATGATTTGATCGATAAACTAAATAATAGTTAAAATATTTATTTAAATTAGCTTTCAAATTAATAAGTGAGTAGTTGAAAACTCCAAATGATATTATGAAAATGAAAGATTGATTATTGGCAAGATACTGTACTTATTATAAGATGTAAATCTTTGTCTGTTGATTCTTGAAACCCCTCTGTCAGATGATATTCTTGACATAATTTGAGTGAAACATATTTTCACAAACAATATAAAGATTAGAAAACTGTGAGAAAATCAAAGTCATTATTTCAAAATAGCCGAAATATTTGAAAGCTTCACTTCTTTTCAGTACAGTTCTATTAAGTCCCTGTAGAATTCTTGAGTCACCTAGGATATATATTACCATCCTCTTCGTAGGTGAAGCGTCAGCTCAATGTCTGGTGTTCACTATTCATTCGATTACACACTGTCTTATAGTCCGGATATTGTTGCCAACAAAGTCACGAGATAGACATGTTAGTTTAAGATCGGAAAACCATGACATAACATAAAATTATGAAATCACTGATTGTTGAAACTAACCGTCACAAAATAAGGAGTCTTAATGCTTCGATTGCAGTCAATAATGAATGTCTACTGTTGAAAATGTTATATTTGCTATTGCTTAAGCTTAGAAACATAGACTTATTAGTTTTATATTTTCAGCTAAATTTTAAGTTTCAACATGATCTGATACTTTTAATTTCTCCACTTCATTTCTTCGTTTTGGGTTTTTTTAGTTCTAACTATAACATCTATACTGTTATTTTTACTATTGTACAATAGAAATCCAGGAGCCTTATGTTGGTTTGTTGAAACGAAATTTTCCTATTGCAAACGTCTTTTGATCGAAAGATGTACGCTATGATATGAGATGTCCGAGTATTATTTCAATTATTGTACATTTCAGACGACCGTTGATTTTTGTTTTTACTTTTAATACATTCTGAGGAAAAAACCATCGAAATAATTTGGTGTTCAGATTTTTTTAGTTTGTATTATTGTGTCTTGGTGTGGAAGGGTTACGAAATTATACAAACACAGCAACGTGGCTTGAGGATCAGAGGCTGTATAAGGAAAAGATAAATTATGATGGGTAGTGTAGCAAAATTATTTTTATAACACTAGCAGCTATCAAATGAAAAAGCTATGAGTTTCCATCAACTCCATGTATAATAATTGGTTTGCATTTCGTTTGCTTTTCGTATTGGTAATAATCATAACCTAAGTTTTGACATATTCAATGGTCACTATGCAGCCATTTTAATGAATTCAACAAAAAATAGTATGTAGTAGTAATTTAAGTCGATTCAGTTGACTATGAAGTTAGGAAATAGATTCGTTGTAAACGGACGCACATGATAGGATGTCAGATGGACAATAAAATCAGGCTGCACGTAGCTGATAAGTTATTTTGTATCCTCCTAACTGTTCTACGCGTCCAGTAATCAATCATCATCAATAAATGTACGCATCTATTCGTTCTCTGACTTCTTGTGCTTCTGTTTCTTACCTGCCTTGTTCATCGTCCACCAGAATGATATATACTCAAACTTGAAGAATAACTCCGCTTGTAGCTCTTCTATGGCTGCTGACGATCTCAAGTCCAGTTAAGTGAGGAAGATTGGACACGGGGTCAGCGACCCATTCATTAGAAAACAATGTTGCTAGAAAGCACTGACCAGAATGGACAAATTAAACCATTTAAACTTTGTCCTCCGAGTTGAAGAAAGAATTATGACGCCTCATGGTTAAAGCTGAGATTCTTCTAAAGTCACGAGACAGATGCACCTTCTAACAACCAGAGCAACAATTAATATAGGTACATAGAATGTCCGAACAATATTAAAGACGGAGAAGTTTAGTCAAACAGCTACGAAAATGAGGAGACATAACTTGACGGTTTTCGGAGCCAGTGAAACCCTTTGTACGCAGCTGGACAGAAAAGAATAAATTTGGAATAAATGCTACTGTATTGTGGCTACAAAGAGCAAAACGTTTCTCAAACACAAGAAGTTGCTCTGAAACACGAAATGAACTTATAGGATGGGAAATCCATGAATCCAAGATAATCAAAGCATCCTACAAAACAAAGAAGAAGGGGATCACAATGTATGTTATCCGATGTTATGCACTTACCAATGGTAGCAAGGAAGACGATGAAGATCAGTTTTATGAGGGGCTGCAGTCAATCATGGCAAAGTGCCCCACAAAATTCCTGACCATCTTGATAGGAGATCTAAACTCCAAAGTCGGAATGGACAATATTGAGTATGAAGATAACATGGGACGACATGGACTAGGTACTGGAAGAAACAAATGAGAATGGTGAGATTTGCGAATCTATGTGAATTCAACAAAGTGGTTATAGGCAGTACATTATTCCTCCAAAAAACTACATTGGTTTTACTATATCACATTACTCAGAACCAGACTAATCATATTTGGTTCAGTAAAAAATCCAGGTCACTGGAAGTCACGAGAATCAGGAGAGAATCTGACATAGCTTTAAATCACCACTTGGTGGTTGCCAAGATGAAACTGAGGCTAAAAAAGCTTTGGAAAACTAGACAAATAGCATTACAAAGTCCCAATACAGCCTTCCTTCAACATACTGACAAACTCAATGAATTCAAGATAACTCTCAACACCAGATTTCAAGCCTTACAGGATCAAGTAAATGAATAAGAAACTACTATGAAGGACAATTGGGAAGGGATTAAAGAAGTCCCAACTTCAAAGTGTCAGGTAGTTCTGGGTTTCGAGAAGCATTATCATAAGGAAAAAGCTAAAACAGAAGGAAATATGAGACAACTGTGTGACACAAGGAAGAAACTGGTAGGTAAATATAGCAAATCAGAAAGACTAGTCAAGGACAAAGAAGAGGAGCCAATCACTGAGATTCAAGAACAGAGGAACAGATTGGTGGAACACTTTGAAGAATTTTTGGATAGGCTAGTTTCACTGAACACGGTACATTGGAGTAGCACCTACAGATTTTCCTATGGATTTCACTCCACCGGTGGTTGAAGAAATCATCATGGCTATCGGATAAATCAAGAGTGGGAAGGCAGTAGAACCTGACAGCACACCAGTTGAAGCGCTGAAGTCAGACACAGAAGTAATTGCAAACATGCAGGAAGATTTGGCAGGAAAAACAAGCGCCCATGGACTGGAAAGAAGAATATATCATAAAAATGCCAAAGAAAGATCTGACAAGATGTCGATACTACAGAGGTATCGCACTACTATCGATACCAGGAAAAGTGTTCAGCAAAGTGTCGCTGAACAGGGTGGGAGGTTCAGTGAACACCTAATTTCGAGATCAACGGACTGAATTCCGTAAGGATTGGTCATGCACAGACCGAATCGCGACACTGCGGATAATTGTTGAACAATCAGTTGAATAGAATTCGTCACTACGCATCAACGTCCTTGATTGTGAAAACGCGTTTGACAGCGTGGATATGAGAATCTTATGGAACCTTCTTTGACCCTATGGAGTACCTGAGAAAATTTTCAACATCATCCTGAATTGATACGACGGATCACAGTGCAAAGTCGTGCATGAAAGACGGCTGACAGATCAATTACCTATAAAGACCGGAGTCAAACAAGGTTGCTTACTCTCCATTTCCTCTTTCTTCTGGTGGTTGAATGCATTATAAAAACCCCAACATCGGAGTGAAGACACGGAATTCAATGGACAGCACGGAATCAACTAGAAGATTTGGGTCTAGCAGATGACCTAACTCTCCTATCCCATACACACGAACAAATGTAGATGAAGACAACTGGTGTAGCAGCAGCCCCTGCATCAGTAGGCCTCAACACAAACAAGAAAAAAATCAAGATTCCCAAACACAACATGGTAAACACCATTCCAGTCACACTTGATGGGGAAACTCTGGAAGTGGTGGAAGCTTTCACGCACCTGGACAGCATCATCGATGGACAAGAAATATATGATGCTCATATGATGTCAGGTATTGGAAGAGTAAGAACCGCATTTCTACAGCGGAAGAACATACGGAAACTATAACAACTGTCAATAAATATCAAAGTGGGTATCTTCAATAAGAACTTCCAGGCAGTTCTATTGTAAGGAGCTGAAACTTGGAGAACCACCACAACCACCATAAAACATGTGCAAGTGTCCGTAAACAATTGTCTAAACAAGATACATGATATCCGTTGGCCGGATATCATTGGCAACAGCCTATTGTGTGAGAGAACAAACCAGCCTCCAAGTAAAAATGAAACTAGGAAAAGACGTTGGAAGTGGATAGGACATACACCGAGGAAATAATCAAACTGCACCATGAGGCAAGCAGTAACGTGGAATGCTGAAGGGAAATGGAAAAGACGAAGGTCGAAGTAAACAGTGCGTCGAGAGCTGTAAGCTGACGTCAAAAGAATAGACAGTAGCTGGAAACAAGTGGAAAGGATTTCCCAAGACAAAGCTCGATGGAGAATGCTGGTCGGCAGCCTATGCTATGTAGAACTATGGTCAACTATGATATTAGTACTGCTCTAATAATAGACCTAATCCTATAATTGTAGATTTGTCATGATATAACTGCCTAATCTATAAGATCTTACGTGGAAGTTACATCATCGTCTACACCAACTCATTGTATCGTAACAGTTACCAATACATGATGGAGAACAAGCTTAGGCTAGAGATAGAACAATATATTGAATATGAATAAAAGATATAAGATAACATTCAACAAGGACCACGCCTGCGTGGCCGAGCCATGCCATTCGACCAACTCCAGTTCATTCAATACATTCTTACCGCCTTCTCCATCATTAGGTATTTCTCCGCGTTAAATATTGAATATCTATTTTCTGAGTAATCTCGTGTTCAGCTTTGTGGATTGCGTGGTTATTGTCCGATGCCACTACAGCTACTCCACGGGGGTAGCAGGTGTAAGTATTTAAGTAGGCAATTTAGGGACATGTACTCCGATTTGGCTTTTGGTCAACCCGCGCGATTTACCGATTCAGTTTACACATATGATCGGGTGTTTGGCCTTTTTTACCAATATTTTAAAACCGGGTTAGCCCAGGTAGACATGAGTTATCCCACTAACCAGTCCAAACCGTAAGCTCATTGGGGACATATGTCACTTTATTCATGTCTGTTGGTCATACTAGATGCTATCGCTTTAATTTTCTCACTTTGTTTAAGTTATAGTTTCTTTGCCGTTAATGATTTGACAGTTGACATAAAGGTGCTTACTTATACCGTGTCTGGAATAATGCTATTTTATGTCAAATGGAATAACTTTTTTAAGGTTTCTAATAATAGGACGGTGATAAGTTGGTTGTGCTGCAAACTTTTGAATTCTCATTAACATAAAGAGTTGTTTCAAAGATTATGTGATAGTTTTTGCTAGCTATCAGACTGCTGCTGCGTTTAGCGGTGATTCAGTGTCAAGGCTTACCACTTTTGTTGAGGATTTCTGGTTATTAGCATACGAACTTAACTGATTGGTGGTATAACTACATTCGAAGAGGTAATGTATTGGAAATCAACTGGCGACTAAGTTTAACCTGGGGTAAAACGAGTAAGTATAAGTAAAAAGCGAAGTAAACATGTTGCTAGTGAACGTGTCATTTTTATCCCCTTGATTACTTTCTACCAATTCACATAATTAATTATGATCTCTTACCACTTTCCTATTTATATCAATGCCTGAGTACGTTTAATGGTTGGCCTATCATTGTAGTTTGAGAACAAAGTCTTCAGCTTTCTGATCGTTTTTTTCACATCGTTTTGTGAGACTTCGATTTCTCATTACATCCTAAGTTAGCGTACCAGATATGATTAAGTAGTAATTTCTTGGGCGATTCATATTGGTAGGTTGGTTGAAGTTAGATATTAACACCGCTGGATGCCGGCTCATTGGTCTAGAGGTTAAACCTTCGCGCATGGGACTGATAGGTCCTGAGTTGGAATCTCGCGGGGCGGGATCGTGGATGCGCACTGCTGAGGAGTCCCATACTAGTATGAAACGGTCGTCCAGTGCTTCCAGATTTTCCATGGTGGTCTAACTTAACTCATGAGCTCAATTATTAGATTCATATGACAATCAAATTGGTTTCCCTGGACAAGCCGAATTCTTTATTAGGTTATAAGCTTCTTTGTCGATAAGCGTCATAAAATAAGCTGTGAATTTATCATCTTTAATGTCTTTCTAATCATGCGCCAGATTTCGAATTGCTCCATGAAGCTAACAAAGTCATCCTCATGTAGCGTGGCGTCGAGTCGCGGTAGACTATGAACACCGCTACAGAGAAACACGTGCCAAATGACTCCATAAAATCCCCGAGAAGTCAAATATCAGAAGGCAGTTAATGGACCAAGTCGAGATATATTTGCTGGTGATCTCGTGGTATCGAAAGGATACCGAGATCGTGCCAAGATGCAAGCTTGGTTACAGAACGTAACCGAATTCGCGCGAAGTCACAATCAAAATGTAAGAAAAAGAATGGAAGCACACTGTAGCTGTCATTAGCACAGTCAAACAAAAGCACATTGAAACAAACACTGGTACAGTTGGTTATAATAATAATAGTTGTTATTCAACCAGTCGTGTTCTCGTGATAAATGTGAGTCACTACACTCACTTGAATTAGTATCCAACTTTCCAAGATTTGACACCGTCGAGACATCAGTGTGACGATTTAAAGTAATCAGGTTAAGTTGACCGCAAAGAATTATCGAAATATTACAATTTAAGGCAGGTTGAACCGGATGAGCACAATGAACGCATTATATTTCGGAATCCTTATGACCACTCAGTTAAGCACAAAGGTATCATTAATTCGTATAAATACCACAAGGCACTTTTTCTTGAAACTAATATTGAGATAACTAACGTATATCACAGGACAGCACACAGTATTACAAACAGCCTAGATTTATAAGCAGGGTAAAACATTTGTAATACCGGACTAACTTCTTCGTATTAGCGAATCGAAAATAGAGATATTTTATGTGACATATGATTACATGGCATGAGTATTGACCAGAAACCATCTACTGTGATTGCAGGCAGGTTACACATGACTATGGAAACCAAAATACGCATAACCATAACTTTCTCATATGGGTCTTGCTTACTTCCGGGAATGTAATGGTTTAGTTGCTCATATATTTATCCCGGGAAGACTATATTTGCAGCCCAGCAATAGTTTTGGTGATAAATAAATCAGTCCCTCAGATAAATGGTTTTGCACATCATCGACGCTATTACTGACCTCATCCACTTTACTGGATAGAACCTAGCCAAAGGTGCCTGGTCACGCATGTGCATCAGATCGTGAGTGAGTACACCGTGCTACACATCCCTCACAACTCAAAGTCAGCTTAGATTAAACGCTTCTAGACATATCGATAGCTTCTCAAACCTATCTTCAAGTCCATTAATTTATGACTTCTAGTTTGACTGAGATGGTGCACTTTGATTATAGAAGCGTCACGTGTAAATGCTTTGTCAAACCCTGAATATTTGTGGCGTCTTTAAGCACTATTATCACGGCGTCATTATGAATCGAAGCTTGTTAACCACAGCGACCCCCGATCAATGGATGATAAGTGGGGGAAACAAGGTCAATACCGATTTTACGCATGAAGAGTCCCGTGGTCTATTTACATATATAGCACCAAATCTATTGGAACTCTTAGTTGAGCTACTTCATGTACTTCAAAGAGTATGTATAATATGCTTTTTATTAGGCTTCAAAAGAGAAAAATACAAGTAAAATGACGTTTTTACGTTTGTTTGGAGTCGAATTCATGAGGCTTGTTTGGATACCTTCCTTACAGAGGCGCCTAGTTTGAGCCCTCAAGTTCTAATGGTAGATTTATTATGAAATATCACTTGGACTCTTATAAACTAACCGAAGATGAGAAGAAGGTAAAAAAACCTTTGCATTGCTTTTTTTGTTAGTTTTCCCGCTTATCAACATATTTCGTCGCGTTGTTTCTAGTGTGTAGTCTTAAATGTTTATTTCTATAGAAATAAACATTTAGCAATATATATATTGCTTTTCCCTGTTGGATGCATAAATATATACTTGGTGGATAAGTTACATCAACATCAAAATCCATTGCTTGGGATATATAATTACCTACCTTGTACTGTCCATGTTGGGATTCTTTCAGCAATCTTGTCATAGGGACTAATGTTCTGGTCTAGATGAGTTACCAATCAACCGTCGTTTTGGCGTCAATTGAAGATATGTCGTTAGTATCTCCGTATTGTGCTGGAACTTTACCGTAGTTCAGTCTTCTTAAGGATGAGTAGGTTAGTTCTCTGCCTGTCATTTAGTTGTGTCTTATACTTTGGGTTCTGTAAACTGACCCATCTTTATTGAGTAACCCATCAATTGTTTTTATCGTATTTAGGATGTTTGTGTAGTTGCATGAACTGCCGGGTTTCTAATATTCCATTTCTGATAAGCTTCGTACATTTTATTATATTTTATATTTTTGCCTTCGTACATTAGGTTGCATTTTATGTACCACCGTACTAGCGGTTTACTGGATTTTCGTGAATTTCAAATAAAGCTTTTGATTGCACTGCCTGTACATAATGCTTTCTAGAGAGCCACTGCTATTTTTCAAGTGAACTGACGGAAAATAGTCTCTTAAGCAGTCAATAAAAGCCAAGGGATTTTTCTTATATTTTTTAAGTGGGAATATTTGCGTATGTGTACACGAGTATGGTATTTATGGAGGGATTTGAATTCGGTCCACCCCGCTATCTATACAAACGATTTTACTGTCGATCGCTTCCAAACTACTGTCTTCTAACATGCTTTGCAGACCATAAAGGTGACCCTCAGGGAGCAAGTTTACTTTCGGATCATGTGTGTGTTGATTGCATTTCACTCCCTTCAAATACAAGAACATCATTACACTTATTGCAATCCAACAATCGTCTTGTTTCTTGATATTAGTCTTGTCTTCGATCCGGTGCGCAAGAACTGTACTCTAGAATTTTCTTCTGTGGAGTGATGTACCTGCAAAGTTTGTTTACATCTTGTTTAATGAATGTCACTTTAGATATGACTCAGAATAGTACCTAGTGGCAGTCATGTGGAGCAGCGACTCATTAATTAAGGTGCTTGATTCCCAAGCACCATGCCACAAGTTCGAACCTTGCTCCATCTACTTTGGTTTTGGAATCTGGTTGTCTACACCAAAGTAGATGAGACAGAGTTCGAACGTGGATAATTGCTAAAGGTCGAGCGTTCCTAACACTGGACCACCTATCCACGAAACCTGTTTTATTCTAACATGGGTCTCCTCAGGATCGAGATCCTCAACTTCACCTTCAGGTTTGTGGGCTAACACTTAAGTTTTAAATCAATAAGATACATTTCATATTACGCCCTATATGTAGCATCGTAGTCATATACATACTGTGATGTTTTAGACATTTCGGCTGTACGATCTACTATCACTTGTAATCATTTCAGATATGTGTGAAGTTGTCATTTGGCTATCGTACGGAACTTCAGAGTAGTAAATAAATCAGTATAAACGCTTACTTTTTTCATATCTGTACCATTATTATTTCTACGTTATGATTATTTCTTTCCGAATTTTAAATGTATGTTTAGTTTTTCCTCCAAAAATACTGGTATCGAAGAAACTTTCCTTTTTCTTTTTTTTTAGAAAATTGAGGAATTTCTTTCACTTATTCAAAACTCTCAAAATTCTCCTGAATATCATCAGCTAGCTTTTAATATTTTAGCTGCACGCAAGTTTTCTGTCCCACAGGCTATGGAGCTGTATCATAATTATCAAGTATATTTCGTGCTCTTATAGTACTCACCTGATTATTGTAGACATTTTTGGCCAGTGAACAGATTACTCGTGTTGATCCCTTCGAAGAGGATGTCAGACGTGAACTATTGTCAGGGAAATTCGTCATTCTCGTAATTATAATTTAAATTTACTAATTTTTTTCCTAAATAGAATGATGATGACATACCTGGTGTTCGTGTGGCACAGTTTTTTGTCAGATTACATCGAAAATCAGGAAATCATCGGGCTTTGTTGCATAGTATCATCTTTCAGCTAGATGCTGCATTGAGAAGGTGAATTAACTTAATTTTTACAACATACGAGTTAAATGCACACATATATAAACCATATCCATAGGTGTATTAAACATCCACCTCGGGGAATAGTACTGATTTCTTAATTTAAGGTTGTCGGTTTATCAGCTTGTTAATTTAAACGGTATATCTTACTAATTTGAAAGTGAATTTTACAATTTTAAGAATCTTTATAGTGGCTAATGATACATCATGTTAACGTAAGAATTCTCAAATAATCGATCTTAGGAAGTGATCATATAATTTTTAGTGTTTCATCACAGTAAAAGTAACGTTTTTTCTCATAGACGATGTATTTCTTTATGTGTAAAATTATGAATTTATTAAGTGGAGTAGCGTTAATAATAAGCTTTATTGGTCATCATTATGTCATGAATATGTAAATGATCAATGATTTCTTGTGGCCCATACAGTAGAGGTTAGTTTTCTTCAAGTATACAGTAGTTTTCTATTAATTGACTACCGGAGTCAAAAGAGATCTGTTTGTTAACTTATTTCAACTACGATAATGTGATATTGTAGCGTGAAACGTAATGTGGAGATTTTTGGAACAACTCCTTTTAATTTACTCTTTAAAAAAAGACTATTATCTCAAGTGATCACCATTCAAGAGAATAATATCATCACTCCCAATCTTTAGTAAGACCAAATTCCTATCATATTTCAATTCTCTGCAATGGTACAGTTTTTTAGTGGTTTGCCTATACAGTCAATCTTCTTCAAGAAATAGGCGTTCTAGCTAATCTATACTTAACTAAACGCAGGAAAATTTCATTGTACATGCCAGTTTATACGCCTTGTAGTTTTCCTCATCTATCATATCCTCAAGATGTTTGCCTCACGTATAAAGATCACATGCATATGAAAATTTTCGCTTGTTTTTTAAGTATTCATGTAAAGTATGATCTGTTTCGTCCGAAAAATGCAGTTGACGTCTTACTATATCTGTTCCATAACTTTATCAGAAATCCGAACACTTACAACATTGAGATTATCAAACTTAGTCATTGAGGGGAATATAAAAGGAAGTCAAGATAATGAAGATAATTGCCTTCTACTAACTTAACTATGGTCAAGTCTACATTAAGCAAAAAGAAATATGATACAGTTGATTTTCCTCGTGTAAAGTTTTTGATATTTTGTATTTGTAAGCCAAGTTATATGGGTGTGCAATTTGGAATTGTGATGGATATTTTCGTTGTTATGTTTATCAAATAAATTTCATAATAATTTAAATGGTATTCTATCTTTACTGTAGTTCTTCTTTTGTTATACTAACAGACGCAAATGCAAAGCGATCTAATTGATAAATTGTTATTGTAATACTTTCGTTGGTTGTAGTTTCAAATTCCAGTTATGATTTTTAGTTACGATAAATTTAAGTTATAAATATTCTTATTCCCAACTACTTGGTTAGTATTCGAATAATAACCTCGATCGTTGGTTGGAAACTTTAAGTGACATGGCTCAGAATCGTTCACATTAGCGCATATGCATTCACTCTTTATCCTATTCTCTGCTTCGGTTTGGGCACCCGGGCAGTATCCTGGTTTCTGCATCCTTGTGCCAATATTTATGTGTTTAAATAGATAAATAAATAAATAATTTATACTATTCTCGATTTTTAATCTCAGTATCTCTTCATGCATACCTTTTCATTCTTTTCTTTTGGGGAGATCATATTCTTAACACTTAGTCTTTCTCGCTATGATTGGCACAACAATTATTTCATCTTTTCTATCAATCTTGTCAATTCCATTTTGTCGTGCCAACGTAGTATGGTAACGATCCGATGTATATTTTTACTGTGCTCTGCGTTGTTTATAACTAATTAGCTGACCCTTAATTTTAGTTTTTTGAAAGCTTTATGTACAACAATTTCATTGTCACTAAACACCATTTGCTTTTGTCTTTGGTGTGTGTAGAGAAACAGCTGCTAGAAATGGTCTTGTATTCATTTTTGATATGACCGATTCAAAATATTCCAACTTCGATTATACGTTTTCATGCAAGTTATTCAAGATGTTACGAGTGAGTTTTCTTTTGTTTGTCAAGAATAATTTCATTAGTTAATTAGTATGTCTTTTTTATTGCGTCATATGTGTGTACACATAGCCTGTTTTCATCATACTTATTCTTTTTTTACATGCAAAATGATTTCAGTTTATACTTAATATAAACCATTGTATATGTTAGTCTCAAGATTATGTTCTGTTAAGATGTCTTTAATTGGTGACAAACTGATAAGCAAAAACATTTAGTGCCTTCGAAGACTTATTTATGAACCTATTAAATTATCCCTGTACACATGTGAGTTGAAGCTAGCACTAAAGACAGTTTAAATATGTGTTTCTTATCACCCGAAATTACTCATCCTTTTATGTTTTTTCTGGATTTTTTATTCTCACTACTTACTATGTTTTTTCCCTAACATTTTCACGCAAACCATGCAAGATAGATTGTTTTCGAAGTACAAACTATTTTTCTTGATTCTGAGATAGCTCTTCGACTATTTAGGGGTTTGTAATACCAACCGGCTGCCGAAACCGAAGTATTCTGATGAAACAACGTACACAGTTTCATGTACTTTGTTGACATACCTCTCAATGACAAACATTTTACTATGTTTTGAGAACTGTCGAAGTATGAATTCTTCATCTATAAATTCCTGTCTAGGTTTGAAACCAGCTTAGTTTTTATAGGTTTGCTTTCTCTGGGCTTTACGTAAGCTTTGGATTATTATGGAAATTAATATTTGGTTTCTGTATTAATCGACCTGATTCTTTTGTAGTTATCACAAAATTTATATTTTACTTCATAAATTGTTATGACCTGCGATTAAGATTAGTTTGATGGGATTATGTCCACCTTTCAGGCTTTCCCTAGTTTCTCGGTCAATCTTACTGATATGAAAGTACCGTCACGCTTCTGAAATAAACTTTGATATCTTAGTCCTCTCACCTATTGAAAGTTGGTTGTAACCTCCTCGAGTGCTGTAAGAGTTGGAGGCAAGTTTTTAATCACATGCTTACGCTGTTACTGGGTAGTGGACAACTGTAGAATAGCTGGAGGCAGTTGTAGTTTCTACACCCATCGTCTTGGTGCCTTTTTTTAACAGTGAATCTCTGTTCTCTCCAATGACGGCCCGTTAAGCTGTCTTTTGAAAGTTTTAACAACCGTTTAGTACTGCTTATCATCACTGCCTTCTCTCTCTTGCTTTCATTGCGTGTTACTACTTAGTCTTATTGTGCAGACTTTTCGTTAGATTGAAGTTGATCTATTTAATTTGTGGTGAATTCGGGTTGGTAGCTTTGTCATATTCTCATTTCATGGAAAAAATGCAGCAGCTGAATTTGTAGAAGACTGAATGATGAACGCTGAGAGATAGTTTGTTTTAGCTTTGATCGTTAAGCGTTTAATTGTTCGTTCAAATTATCTTTAAGATCTATAGTCATCAACTTGATAGAAATCCACAGTTAGTGATACTTACACTGTTTAACAATGAAACATCGTCTTATGCCACATTTTTCTGTACGGTAGATCAATGTTACAACTTTGAGTACTTTTTTAAGACTGCGCTTCATTCGCCATATTTTCAGTCATCTTCGAGTTTAAAAAAGGCAACCTACAAAACATTGTCCGACTTACAGAATATTCTGGTTAAAAACGTATTAATGCCAATTTTACTCTTTATTCGTTTATTGCTACGACAGTCACCAGTTGATGACCAGTAAATTTCAATGGATTTAAAACTCATTAGTCTGAATCGGGTACTGTGATTGTTTCACTTGAAGACTAAGATTTTAAAGAACCACTTTTTTGTAATTAATTTGTTGGAACTACAAATGGATGACTGCGTAAATCCGTTTAATATATACTTTCGTCAGTATGGGGTTTCGAAGATTGTTGAATTTAATTGAAATCATGAACCGATTTAATTTGGACCACCATTGAAAAAATGGAAGGATTAGATGACCATTTATTCCTATTGTGGGACTCATCAACACTGCACATCCATAACCTTCCTCTTGGGAGTCGAAGCCAGGACCCTCAGTCTCATTTGCGAATGCCTAACCTCTAGACCACTGAGCCTGTAACCGACGGTGTTGATGTACAAAGTTAACCAATCCACGATATTGCGCGACCATCTTTCATTCTTGTCAATGGGTAACTACCTCACACCCGACACGGTTCAACCCCATTGGTCACGGCTTCTCACTGGAACGACCGTTCAGTGTTTCCAGGTTTCCAAATGGCGGTACAACTTAGATCAGTTCATGATTCCAGTGTAATATTTATCTGTTTATCAAATTATTTGTTTTACAGGCCTTTATCCGAATAACCTAAAGGAGGTTGGCTTGAAGATATGTCTTATCTATTTAGACTGGATGTTTGCAATTGAAATTTACTACTTTATTAACTTTGGAGACGTTTACTCTTTGCTTTTATTATGTTTTTCTATATAAAGTCCTCCTATCCTGTACGTCTCCGGCGTGTACTAATCCTAACTGCTCCTCTCTGGTTTCGTGCTCCTTTCTTATTAATGCGAGTATTTATTCGTGAATTATTTCAAGATTGTGTATATGTACTTCGTCCTTCACCGGGAACCAAATTAGAAGCACTTAGCCATCCTGATCCCATTATTTTAAAACGTGATCATTATGCTTGGCTTCAAACTGCTCTATCAAGAACTGGATGGTTATTGACTGAAGCAGAACAGGTGTGTCTTGTGTTCTTATCTCTACGTTATAACACTGTGTATTATATAATAGAATTTTATATTACTTTTTAAAACTATTCGATAAAAAGCTGAATTTTCGCCCTCACACGTAAAGTGATGTATTGTAAGTAATAGTATGATCAATGAACAGGCTTAAATTATCTATCTAGTCAAATTTAGTTCTATTTAATAGATAAAAATTTGTCTGTCCTGAATACATGTAAATTATGTAAAGCCTAATTATCAGTATGGCGTTTTGTGAGGGTTGTAGAATTTTGATAGTCTTTAAATCACGAACTGATCGTAGCTAGACCTCCATTAAGAGTCGAGGTGCTCTGGAAATTTACTTCATCCTAGTTTAGGACTCAGTGCCCATCCACAACTCTGCGACCGGGAATGGAACCTAAGATGCTCGGTCTTATTCCCAAACTCTTAGCTGGCCTTCGACGGTGCTTATGTCTAACTTCAATCTAGTCGCGATATTGTGTGACCATCTAAAGCCTAATTGATTGATTAGTCTGCATGCAAAAGTATCTGTGAGTGTCTCATCCACTTAACTTGTTACACGCCATTCAGTATCTGTCCAAATGAATGAAGACTAAATTAAGATAGATATATAGTTCTTATTTTTAAACACTGATATCTATTATATATGGGTTTCTATTCGAACAGTAACCAGTCTCTAAGACTACTCTCGATTTTTTGATGCTATCATTCTGCAGCACTTTTGCCGTCTTTTTGATCTCAGCACTGAATTTACTGAGCAAGCATATCAAATGTTCAAAACTTTTGAAGTCAAAAAAGTGCATAATCTCACTACTATCAGATGAAAATATAAATAAGCTTGGTATCGATACAATCTATTAGCTACATGTGATTATTGTTAATGTTATTGAGGTTGCAAAGCGAAATGTTTATTTATTTCATGTTAGTATGTAAGGAGTGGTAGTTTAGTGGTTATGGTGTTAGGCTTTCAGCTACTAACTCTCAGGTTTGAGCTCCATCCCACCTACTTCGGTTCTGTCAACAGAGAAGTATCATTAACCCCTACATTTATTGTATGGTTCATGCTCAAGTACTCAGTAAATGAATTCACTTAATTTAACATCATTTGTAATCTTTTTTTTACAGGCCGCACTTCCTATTGGTCATCGTAACCAAACAGTTGGTGCATTTTTTGGTCCACCCCCAGAATCTACCGGGTCATTATCGGATTCTAGTGATTCTGAGTTTCGTGAAGATGATGATTCTTTTTCCACTAATCAACTAGATGATGCTGCTGTCGATGATGATTTAATTAGTGTTGGTGATTTAGATCCATTTTCTTTGACTAGTTCATATTCCGGTGAAGCTGAAAGTTCAGATTTAGAAGAATGTACATCGGATGTAATAATGAAAACATTCTCATCATCTAATTCAGAAAAAATGAATGATAGTGTTAGTTTTTATAGATACTACATAATTTTATTTGATTCATAACTCATTATCAATAAGTCAATCATGACACAACATGTTATATGACCTGATAAAAATGTATATGTTACCTTAAGTATATGTTGATGAATTTAGCTTTAAGTCGTAGACGTGACGGCTGGTTAATTCACATCGGTTGTTCAGACTAAAGTAGGTGAAACGGGGCTTTTTAATACGACTTATTTCCTTATTACAAACACGTTTCTATATCAAGTGGTTGTAGTTAACAGAAAATACTGATTGGTCTAAGTTTCATGTTCATCAGTATAGGATACCTGCAATATTGTAGGGATCGATGTTCGGTATGGGACTCAGACCCTCATCTCCCAGCTTCACTGTCCGAGATGTTAACGTTAACCTATTCGGACGATAAGTAATCTGTAGGACTCCAATATTTACAATTAATTTATCATTGAGTAGTGATCATTGTCATATTTGTCTAATCATTTAGTATTGATCAAGTTACTATGTAACCATTGGTTAATTGACCGGACATTGTGTACACTATTTTGAGGTGTTAATTAGTTGGAAGTAGTGGGATATTAATCCTATTTGACCTATGTCTTATACTAGTTGGCACCTGTCGTTAAGGTGTACCTAGACTTTTAAGGAAACTGATGCTCCCCGTGGGAGAGATAGAATTTGACCGGGACTAAAAGACTAGACAAACATGACAAATTTATTCACTACTCAATGACCAATCAGTTTTACATAATATATACTCAGCTTTGAGGCCTAGTGATACATATGGAGTAGTAGAGAAAAGGAGAAGACTAGGAAATGTACTAGTGAATTTTGTCTGCAGAAAACACAATAACACCAGCACTGATAACTGTAATAATAATAATGGCAAGTGTCTGGTAACTGAAGCAATTTAAACAACCATAACCGATTTTATCTAACCAACCAATCAATCACCCCTGCAAGATAGGTAAAACTGTGAATGTGACAGTATATATATATATATATATATATATATATATATATATATATATATATATATATATATATATACTGTTCAATTTCGTTCTAGAACAAGTTTCCACTGCATACTCCTCTTATCTGTAAATATTTGTTTATACACAGTTGCTCGCTGCTGTGTATATACGCACTAATATGTGTTTGTCTGTTTGTATGTGCGTGCATGGAAAAGAGTTTGATTGATTAGACAATATTCTTTTTGGACAAAGCTTTAAAAAATCGATTAATAAAATTATTTCACTAATTCAGAATTTTAAGTTTGTTGAGGACTGTGATATCAACTGTTGAACCACTAGATTATACACAGGACAAAGGACAGGCACTACGTTACAGTCTAGAACTCACCAGCAATGCGAATATACGACCTCACCCACTAGATCAAACCCAGGAACTTCATGTTTCAAATCCAGTACGATAACTTAAAAACACTACGTTACAGGGAGATTAACTTTCTAACTTCGGTCATCCAATCATATTGTTTAAGTTACAGACTAACCTTGGTCAGATGATGATTGGAAATAACTAAACACCGGACAGTTGTTTTATCCTAGCATTAGGTTCAGCAGTTCACATCCACAATCTCACGGGGGATCGAACCCAGGACCAATTCAGGCTCCTCAATGAGTTTTTAACTTTTAGACTATTTAGTCCTCATTCAAGTTTTTATATTTCTGACTTCATTCATTTCACGATATTGCGCAACCATCTTCCATTGGCATTGATCGGTAAATTGCATTACACTCAACATTATCGTTTTCTCACTAAAACTGCGAATCACCTATCAAGATTATTTATTAGTGAACACATGATTATTTTGAATGTAAAGGGGTTTTTAAGGTTGTTGACCTTTCATAGTTTACATCGCGAACCGACCTTAGTTAAGTAACCATAATTACTGGTTTTAAATAGTTATCCAATTGAAAGCTTTCCGTGATTTAAATTACAAAATTTAAACATCTCGACAAATCTCCTACTATCAAAACTAACTTGAAATTCATTATGGTATATGTACAAGGCGGCCTGCTTGAGCATCTGGGCTACCTGTTCCTGCCATCTAGATATTTCGACAAGTTATCTATCTTTGTTTGTTTTAATATATCATTATGTCTATTAATCGCACAACCTATTCTGCTGCGTTTCTGAAAAGTGTACAACCTTTCGTTGTCAAAGTTACAAAAAGCTCAAAAAGAGAGAATATTGTTGCTGGCAATATACAACGAAAAGAATGTACATTATTCAGATATTCATTTACTGGACTGTTAACATCTAGCTGGCGATCACTCAGTATTTATCGCGAGGACCGACCAAGAAGAAAGAAACGGAAACTTGTTGAAATACTTTGTGCTGAGAATTCTATATTGTACCAATAATATAATATTGAATAAAGCTAATAATAATAATAATAATAATAATAATAATAATAATAATAATAATAATAATAATAATAATAATAATAATAATAATAATAATAATGGTATATGTACATTATAGCATATGTTATAGCATATGCTATGTTATCAAAAAGAGAAAGCGAATGTAAACGGAATTTAATTGATGCGTATAATTAACAATCAAATAATTCTTAACCTTTATGCTTTCACGACATATTTTTTGTTAACAATTAAGAAATCACAAAATTTTGTGGAATTCCTTAATGAAAAATGATATCTTTTCCTCTCAATTGATTTGTATTCCAGAATTTCAATCCAAAATCCGTTTCAAATTACTCGGAAGCATGTTCATATGATCATAAACGTCAAACATTATCGAATTCAGAACATGGTGGGACGCCTACTCCTCCGACAGTTGCTAAACGCCCACAACTGTCAAATACTGCGAATTTGAACTATTCCACTCTCATATCTGATCATACAAATAGTCGTTCTTCAAATGCAATCACCTCAGGGAACCATGTTATGGGTTTTAATGAAGACTTATCATTGGTACGTATTGACCCTGTAACTCCTACTGCTGACAATTGTATCAACTCACCTTTAATATCCGAAGCTTTTGATACCAAACAAACTGGTTTTAATTATGGGAATTCTCATGCACTTAACTCATCTTGTTCATCCAATACATCTTTCTTCTCGACTGGTTCTACTGGTGTACATTCTACAAAATGCAGTCCAATCAGTGATAAACTCTTAAACCAGTTAATAACATCAGGTTTACCGAAAACAACTGAATTCGAAAGACGTGGAATGTCAAAAGTTATCCATGAAGTTTCAGGTTTAACAACTTCTAAGGATCATGACTTACCTCTTGCAGATGCTGAAATTTCAGATTCTATTTGTTTAGCTCCCGTCCAAAATAAAGTTGCACCTCTTGCTCAAGATGAAATAGGAGATCGAACTATTTGTAATAATAAAAATCCAGTTCATATGTTGCCAAGAGTTCCAGGTAAATCAATTTTGTATTGTCATTTATCTTACCTTTTATCACTTATATTTTGCTTTTGGTTAAATTCATTTCATATACCTTCTCTAAGGTTTTTAATTCATTATACAAATCATTTAACTGAGAAGCCCATCATGGACTAGCTATAAGAAAAGATTTCGTATTTGTTGTGAACTCCAAGTTAGTAGACCACATTTTTCAGGTATAATTATTGTGTAACACAGTTTAATGACTATAGTAGTAAAGCTTCAACTGTTAATTTTACGAGTATCAGAAGAGATATACGTGTATAAACGGACCCTGGTTCTCTAAAGGCGTGACATTGTATTAAAAATAGATCTGATGGACAATATTTGTTACCCAGGTTGAGGAATTTGGTATGTTTTATTCCTTTGGCTTAACAGTTTAGTCGTGATGTTTTCATTGATTTCGTAACCAAGATCGTGGGCTGTCAGAATTTCTTCACAATTAACTAGCAACTTGTTTCAGGTAAAAAAACTTTCTTATTTTATGTATAAAGTCAGTTAAAGCTTCAGAAATAAACCACCTAGCTCAGAAAATAAAATACCTACAGAATACATACGTTTATATAGACGGATATCTCTCACATCGATGATAGACAAGGATAAAAATATACAACCGCTTCTCCATACTGATATGGTTCATAGACTTTTCATGAAAACTCGTAAATGCGTTATGTAGCATTATTAAGATAGATGTAAGACAGGCAAATATATGTCAGTAATTGTGTAATTGGAAAACAGTTGGCCCTAAAGTTTAACTATTGCTCAAGTGAATAAGTTTTATGTTATACTATATAGATCAGTAACTTTTCCATCTGAATAATTTAACGTTGGAATATTTTCTCTGCTTCCCTGTTATGGTCTATCTGATGTTCGTTGGCCAACATGTATATGATAAACGTATATTACTTAAGCTCAGCGATTTAAATGTTAATTGCTCGCATATAGACTTGGAAGTACTGAGTTCGATCTCTGGTGGGGTGGTTGACGCACACTACTGAGGAAGAGCGGCTCCATATATTAGGATGGATTAGCTGTCCTGTTCATCCTGATTTCCAGCGGTTGTTTAACTACAGTCAGTCCGTACTATAAACTATTTTGTTTCCGTTTCATTCTATTTATTCTTTCTTGCTTTTCCTATTTCATCAACAAAAAAGCGTTTGATTCCAGACTAGTTAACACTAGTCATCCGTCATTAGATGTTATCCCTAATTGGGCAATTGGTCGCCCTCAAGGGGAGTCAATTCACCAAGACCATGATTTAATATATCCTGTTGAATTATCATCATCAATGAATAATAGTCAAACTACAGAAATTACTCCATTGAATTCCTCATCATTAAGTTATTTGGTTTCTTCAAGCTATGATAAATGCAATGAATGGGGCGAAGAAGCTCCTTCTTCTTCCTCTTCTCCTCTTCATCATACCGCTAACAGTAAAACAGTGTCTATTGCTTCACCAATCAATAATAATCATAATACATGCTGTGATAATAATCGAGATGCATCATTATCGTCATCAGTAGAAAGACAAAGGATATACGATGAAATTGACGCAAATATGATTGAAATCAATAGTACAACATCTAGCAGTGATGATGTTTCAGCTAGAAATGATGAAGGCGTAATCGATGTAGTTGTTAACGATGATGATTTCGAACCCGAAGAAGAAATAGAAGAGGATGATGATGATGATGATGAGGAGGGGAGGAAGAGGATGAATATGATGACGATAACTTGGAAGTGACTCAAACAATTATTATGCAAGAACATTGGATGAATCCAAATGAACTAGTACAACACATTGAAAATGTTGGTTTGACTGGACTTAATTCAGAGTATAGTGCACTTGTTCAGTTGAAGAACGAATATACGCATATTGCTTTCAAGTGAGTATTTCATTTATTGTTATTATGTGTACTAATGGGTTAGAGTGATTCCCACTGATCTTCCTCTATGTGCACATGTTATTTAAAATTGTATTTGTTAACAATAGAAAATACGGCTGTAGTGTATACGATGAATTCATGTACATATATTAATTACCGAATAGAAATTCTCATAATAAAAGTTGAAGTGTTATCATTATCAAATGTCTCACTTTATTATAAGAAAACTAGTCATAGTCACTTAGTATTTGATATATGAAGGATCTAAGATATTTCTTTTTAACGTTGGTGTTCTGTACATCTGTTTCATTTAAGGGTTGTTGTGTTGTTTTTCGCTCATTATTTGCCAGAAAAAAGTTTTACTACGAGTATCTGTTTGTTTGTCATGCGATAGCTTATGCCTGTCCATCGATCCGACGATGGATGTATGTTCGAAGGTCGAGTATACTGCTCAGAAGAACATTTGGTTACTGCCCTCACCCTGTGAGTCATGGCAGCTGAGATTGAAGAATATCTAAAAATTACAGCTATTCAAAAAAGGAACAAGTTATTTCGTCCAATTAATGGAATGACCCATCGAGAGATTAATGTCAAGTTTAGTCTCAAAAAGATTGTGAACATGAATCAATTGAGATTATTAGTTCATATATCTTTACCTATGGCAAGTAGTCGTCCACTCTGATGTATGTAATGACAGCCAAAATAGCGACAGGGTTTTAAAAATTCATGGCATTACTATATTGACACATGCTGCTATGCATCGATAAAGTTATTCTGTGCATAGATATGATTGGTGTAGAAATGTGTAGACAATTGTGAATTATTCCATACCTTTTGTTCTTCGATTTCATTTATCTTTCGTGCTACATTTTTCTAGTAATTATTTTTCACAATTGTTTAGTAATGTTTTTTCATCCTTCAGTTTTTGTTCTGTTGGATTTACTTTCTGCATGGTATGCGGTTTAAGGACTTGCATCGTTGCGCATCAGTGCTAGGCCCTACTTTAGTAACTGTTGTATAAGACAGCTTCTAAGGGATTGGTGATTTTAGTGACAAAAATTAGTTGAGAATTAATTACAAGGGAGACTATCATTTTTTATGATTGTTATTTACGACGTATCGTAAGTTTAACAAATTAACGCTGTTTGTTGTTTACAAGTAGTTGGTAGGGAGCCTTGCTAACTACAGATTTCATGATAGCCGGGACTCATCAGAAAGGCATACCTGCAATATTGAGAATGACTTTCAATGTGAGATTACAACCCACTTCACTATGCTTTACATTATGAGAATCCACTGCTTTGTTTAATAATCTCCTGTAGGATCGCAATATTTACAATCGATTGATGATAGAGTGATGATCACCGTCATTCTTGTCTAGTCTTTTAGTGTTAATCAAATTCTATCGATCGATTTGGAATGTAAACACTAGTCTAAGTGAACTCAGATTGTGTGCACTGTGTTAAAATGTTAGCTGGTCGGAGGTCCCATATTTAGCTCTCCAGTGCATTCTAATTCTTAATGGTATCCCAACTGCGATCCATCTTTGGTGTATACAACCTTAATAATAATTGACATGTTAAATAAGCAATAAATTTCTTTATTATTTTTTGTGACAGTCATTCATAACACATCCCATGGATTGTCTTCATGTCTGGTATAGTTAATTTTCGATTTCATGACGTCTTTGACTGTTTCTTTCCGAAGAAACCGCTACACTCATGTTGTCGAAGGCATTCTTAATATATATATAATAAACACTGTTTTATTATGCTTTACTCTGTATTTTGAGATTTGATACGCTTAAATTTTGAAATAAATACGTCTTTCAGATTAGAATGTGCATTATTATTTTTATTATTATTATTTTTATTATTATTGAATATGAGAATTTTCTCTTACAACAACTTATGCATACCTTTCATATTGTGTCATATTAATTTTTCTCTCATAAGTTTTCTCTTTTTTAATCCTTGATGTTAAAGTATTCATCATTAATATTAGTAGTGTAATTACGACTAAAAACATGACATATATATATATATATATATATATATATATATATATATATATATATATATATATATATAACGTTGAGACAATTGCCCTCAGCACTGTAATCAGTCCATCCACCCACCTATAAATATTTTGAGATTAACTAGACATTCTATTTTTATTTGAAGAGTTGACTTGTCAAATGTAAATTATGTGAATTATGATAGATAACTAAACAAATAAGTAGTGTAGGTGGATGTTAACAAACTGAAAAAAAGCTCAAATTTATGCCACTTTTATTGGGTATATTATTTTAGTTAAATTATAATGTATAATGACGAGCCAATCAGATATCGTGAATACAGCTTCTAGGTTTTTTACGACAGATTAAAATATCAAGTATAAAGAACAGTAGAAATACCTTTTAATGCTACTCAAAACATTGCAATTGATTGTGAAAGATTAATTTTTACCAACACAGAGCAAAAAATGATAATTTTAAATCTATCAGGAGCTTTATTCTATCTTTGTAGATTGTACATAATAGACGAATCAACGGTCCCTAAATTCTAACCTACCGACACTATATTCTGTGAGTGTACTAATGAGATAGCGTCTCTTGTACTTTTGCAAGTGAAATCGATTCATCTTTGTGGCTACAAAGCATTTTTACATTTTAACTGATATGAATCCATGATAAAAACCCTAACCATAAACTTATATACGGTTCCAATAGATTCTTCTAATATATAAAATCTTTGCCATATTGTTATCGTTTCTTTTTTCAATTAACCGTTCATATTTGCAAAGACTTCTTTCCAATTGGCTAGGAACTGACTTGGAATTTGTTACGATTTTTGTTTACGAATCGCTCAGGCTCATTTCTATATTGCACTCTTATCATTGTTTCTTTCGATATTCTTTTTTAATGGTTTTCTGGGGTTTTTTTTAAAGAAAACTATTTTTATCTTCTGAATATTTTTTCAAATGCTACGAAAACGGCCTTCAGTCTAGTAGCGTAAATCAAAACCTAATACGTATCTACACTCGGTCATTTGGGAAAGTTGAGACATAATGTTACACAGTCGCAACCAGCACCTACTTCGGAACACTACTTGCTGGTATATAAGCTTAAAATATACCTGACTAAGTTATATCTATCGACTCATGAGGAAATTATTAATTAATGTTTTGGACAATCTATAGATTTACAAACATCGTCAGAATCTGCATGACAAATAATATTAGTTAAGACGTTAGTTGATAGAGGTTAACATCAATTACAGAAGTGTAAATGTTGTCATTTCTTATTTCCCCTTCAGTTATCTCCACAGTATCATAGCATACTGTCAGTTCTGGGTTTTGTTAATCCTTTTTAACTTTTTTTATAATTTAGTTTAATCTTTTCTCTGATGTTGGTATATTGTCGTTGACTTTAGTTGAACTGACGGAAAATCTAGCAGCGTAAATTGATACGCTTTTTAATCAGATGTTTTTGTATCTAAACAGAATGTTATCCAGTCATATTCGTTTTATTTTTTATTATATTTCACTTTCCTGTCGTTTTTTTGTTATTCACACAAATATTTCAGGCATATACTTAATCGGAGTAAAAATCGTTATTGTGATGTGATTTGTCATGATGCAACTCGTGTTTATCTCCAACCATTATTATTATCGTCGGATATTTCTAGAATTTCCACTAGTCGTAGTGATGAAGATCCTACAGTATTATGTAATGCTCAGAAATCCCTTACCGCGCGTCTTCATCGTACACATTCAGCACCAATATCAGCGCATACACTAGTAAAAAATTATATTCATGCCAATTGGGTCGATGGTTATCGACAGAAAAACGCTTTTATCTGTACTCAGGGTATGTGGTAAAGTTTTATTTGTGATTGCTCAATCTAATAATTTTTTTATGTTTTTAGCAAAACTATTTGCAGCTTACTTTAAATTTTGTTTTATTAGTGAAGTCGCAAATGAAGTACTAATATAAGCCACGATGAAGATGCTTACAGTTCAACAAAGTTTATTTTTTATGTATTTAACCAAGTCATTATTATGTTTGCATATATATCTGTATATCGCACTATTATGGATCGAAATTCATGCAACTCTCTTAGATCCGCTACTCTCGCTTCATTCAGTCGGTAATTCATCACCGTAAGACGTGAAACCAGCGTTCAACGGTCCAAGTTACCTCACTTTAGACCAGCCGAGAAAAAAAATCAAGATGAATGAAAAGCATAAGGTGAGAAATTATATCGGCGACAAGGGAAATCGAAATATGAGAAGCTCAGTTCAAAAGGATAACTTTGAAAAAATAAAAAAATAACACCCGACCGAGTATTTGCAAGAAGGTAGAGAATAGTAATTGTAACCGACTTTATACCATTTTAATCCAATATTTGGAACCGTTGATTATTATCATTAGTTTGGCCGTAACCCGGAAGTTGAAACCTATTGACTCAGCTAAGATCACCGGTCAATGAATTCATGAAATGATGATATATCTAAATCTACCCACTGGTAGCTACTAATCAACATACTCCAATCTCATACAACGTTGGTTTCCAGAATTGGTAGTTGTTCCGGATATGTAGCATGCGTCCTATGCGGTGACAAAAAATTTCTATAACACAATACATATACTATGATTCAATATATTTTTTTATGAGTAAAAAACTTTATTCACTACCAATATGAATCAGATCAACAGTCATTGACTTCATAGTCTGATGTCACATATCAGATTTACTAAATCAGAAGAAAACTCTCTATGGCCTTTCGAATACATACCTTTTTCTAATAGACTTTTTAAATATGTTATCGCAGTGCTGTTTCTGGTCGACTATTCAATTTAAATCATTAATAATAATGTGGAGAAAATCGGGCATGGTGAATGTTTTTCTTTTTAAGAAAATCTAGATAATGTAATTTGATGATGCATACGTCTGTTGCTAGAAATTAAATTGACTAGTTTAAATCAATGCAACAGTTCTTCATTTTGATCCTGACAATCAGTCAATAAACTACCCATAAAATTAACGTAACTAATTGATGATACTAATGATGATATACGATATCAGTAAATAGATTCTTCATTTATTTATCTTAGAATATCTATTAAGAATTCTGTGATTTTAATGTGTTTATTGTGTCCGGTCACATGATTCACATTCCGTTTGGTAGAATAATTCTAATAGATAGATAGATATAAGGAGAGATTGATCTGAGACATTCTGACGGAAAAATTTACTCACCATTTCTAACTGACATCTTGTAAAAGTTTGTAAACTGAGTTATTCATAAAAAAATCGTATATAGTCAAAGAGTTAGTCAGTTGATCAGCCAGTGTTAAGCTTGAAACACAAAATTCATTAACTCAAGTTGTCACACATTGTGGTTAAATTTTAAAAAATTAATCCCATCACTTTACAGACGATCAACAGTTTGATACTACTACTACTACTCTTTAAACTCAATGTTTATCAATTAGCATCTATTTAATCACTAGTCATCAATAATGTTGGTTCGTTCCGTGTTTACATTTTGCGTAGTATTTAACTTGAATTATATTTCCACTGAATGTTCTCTGGGAGTAGTCATTTGTCTAGAATGGTCTGTAAAAGTCAGTAAGAGGACTCACAACTTCTTCTGCCAAGTTTACCTTACATTGTTGACATAAAGACAAAATAGAAATATTTTCATTAGCCACGATTTACTACTATTATATAATAATGCGACCCATACACAGACTGGGATCCAGTTGTACCAAATACGCGATTCGTGACCGAATATAGTAAGAAACGTAGTATGTAAGTCGGACACTGGATTTATCTAAAGCAATACTAATTGTCCATACAAATTTTGAGTCCAAGGTACAATTATTAGTGAAGAGGAAATCGCATTTAATAGTGAGTAGTCTGTGTTTGTTTTTCCACACTCAGTAATCAACCACATTTCACCTTCAATGACCACACATCGATAACCATTAATTGTGTACACCTACTCCTTTCACATTATTTTTTTTCGAACCAATCAACTATCTTGAAATGATAATCAGTGACGAGAAAAGTCGCTTCAAATATTTGTACGTACATTATCCGCTTGGAGCATTATTAGGAGGAAGAGTGAGGTAACTTGTTTATTAAGCACCGGACTCTGATGCACATTTTGTGTGGCAACTAGTGATATTAACCAGCTGTCCGAACCGAAATTGGTTGGGAGGGACTCGAACCTACAATCCAATGGTTGAAAGTCGAGCCCTCTGACCATTAAGACACTAATTCATGCATCGAAAGAGAAGGACCAACATCATTAAAGTGAACTCTTATTAGGAAGGTGAATTGAGTAAATCACTTATATTTTATGATATTATTCTATAGATAACAACAAAGACAAAACCTTTACTCACGCCACTATTCACCTTAGCCAGTTCATCTACTTGGAAAATATACTTAGCTATCTTATCAGGGTATAACCCCTTGAGAAAACCGCTTGTTTTGGTTTGGGCGCCCGGGCAATATCACAGCGATGGTTTTGCGTCCAAATAAATACATAATTTGTGACTATGTCGAAAGTTTATGTCAGAATGCGGATATGGTTTCCACTTTTTATTAGCATTTAGAAGATTCTACTCCCTGTTAGATGTTTCGTCACTCGTAACATAATTTTTTTCAATTTAAACTGATATTGAAATTAAAGAAAGGTACTAGCCTGGAACACTTTTAATTCAGAGATGGGAGAAATGTAACTATATGTTCTCAACTCCCATACAGAGCCTCATATAGGCACTACCAATAAATTCATCAATAAATACTATCAGATAACATATTCGCATTGATAATTTTATTACTGTTTTAAGACAAATATCTTTGTGTAGTAAAATTCTATGTAATGTGTAAAACTACTCTATAAGCTATTTATCTTGAGTGCTAGTGTTTTTAATTTGTCTCTGTGGTTCGACTAATCACCCTTTTTATCATAATTTTAGGAATATGTCACATTCATTAGTTATTTGATTTATTAAAATTGGAAAGTTATTAAGCTGTGTTTCTAACTCTTAGATGTCACTGAAATCTTTTTATGGCTCAACGTTTTGCTTGTGTGTATCATTTATTTCTGAAAATGACCAGTTATATCTTATGAGCATCATGCATATATCCATTGAGTGGAAACAAAATCTCAAGATTGTTAAAAATCCATAACATTTTTTCTTGAATCATAGAACAATCGGAAAAACATTTCCATCTTTTAAATAGTAATAATAAAAGATGTCTTATTCAGTTTTTCAAGATGAGTAGCAGTTTATAGTCTTTTGATGTTTCGCATGTTATAGAAATAAGTAAATAACGTACGTACCGATGAAATTGTCTACTGTATGTTCCATAAGTTAAATGTAACTTTGTCTGACAAATATAATATTTGGAATTGGAAATCCAACATCCATATCTACTACAAAAAATGTATCAAATGTTATCGAAAAAGTTCAAGTTGACGAATATTTAAATAAAGATTTTGCATATAACATGCTTTAAAAATTAATCGATGATCATCTTGCAGAAAGCATTCGTCAAAGATTGATCTCAGTTGAGATAACGTGGAAAATCGGGAAGTTATCCATCATGAAACTCTTTATCTGTGAGTGACTATCGTAACCAATGTTTAGAGACTTTGGGTGACGGCTCAGGATAGTTTTCAGTGGTGCATTAACATTCGCTCTTTATTTTTAGTTTCTGAAACCTGTAATCTTATAAAAATTTTCCTTTTTCCTATTACTGTTATACGACTGCTTTTACTCATACTATTTATACTACTCAGCGATTTGTCTTGATATAAATTTATCATTCTGGGTTAATGTGGTGCGGCAACTTGATCCAATGTTTCAGGTTCTACGTTGCATATGAGTAACTGATTGGTTGATCATCTGTACATACCCCCGGTCACACCAATGTCTAAACTCAGGACATTGAGTTCTAGTTTTAAACACTTAATCATAAGGACCATTTGGTCGGCAACAAATTTACAGTCTTAACCTCAATCAGCTTATTAGTTCCAATGACTAAGTGTTCATCGTGAAAACTGAGGATCTTTAGTTTGTTCACTGGCTGGTTTGTTTGTGCTTAATTCTGAGAAGTCCTATGCTAGGACGAAAGAGCTGTTTAGTGCTTTCTGCCTTTCAATTTATTTCAAATGAGACCAATGTTTAACGACTCATTACCCACAAATTAAACCGATCTCTACTACACCTCCTCAATTAGTAAGTGACATTTATTTGTTGTGTATAATTGCTCATTGTACTAATGATACCGTTTTTCATTGTTGATTAATTGACCATATTCATCATTTTTGATTTTTAAAATGGATTTGTTTATATTTTCAACTTTTACAGAAGTTTTTCTTCTGCATTTGTTTATTTTATTCTGACTGATCTTATCGGTGAATCAGTAACACCAAAACTATTGTCTGTTCTATTGAATTTAAAATGCAGATTTTCCTTTATGCAGGCTTGTATTATGCAGTTGTGTGTTACAGATTTCAAAAAGACACTTTAATTGCTATACCTAGATTATAGACAAAAAATATTGACTTGCCGTGTTTTATATTATACATAGTGTTGTTGAAGCCTACGTTATATTATACATGTTTAATCATATAGTCTTATAAATGCTGAGAGGACTGTATTCTTCCATAATCTGTTTATGTGTGTGGTACCTGATTCAGGTACGTTTTATAAAAGTGAGGTTCTCTACGCACTCATTTTTGTTTGGGTATGATTTGATCATAATGATGTGGTCCATACTCTTTCTCAGTTCTCTTAAAGCGTTTCCGTACGTGACATCATGTTAGAAAAAAGATTGTAACATTGGGTGGATGGTTTTCGGCAGCAAAGTGATGTGACGGAAAGATAAAGAACTTTTCTTTAGTTGTTTCTGATGCCCTTGTGATCGGATCGTAACTGAAGAGCAACTGCATTGGTCTTGTTCGAGTGCTGATTAATTCACCTCAATTGTCTATCTAGTATTAACAGCCTCCTGCTAACCAATAACACAATGACAATTAGAAAACATCAATACTTAATGACTATTGGTTGAGAATGTAGTTTTTCCACGGTTGCTCACCCGAAAGCCAGAACAGATTACAATAAATTTGGCAGAAACTTTTAATTAGACAGTTTAGATTTCTGAATCATTCATGCAATAAAGTAGAGTAAAATCTTGACGATATATCAATATAATCAGAAATTACATGGTGGTCATACTAAGTCATGAGTTAAAAAGAACTTTATATTAGTTCTGTAATAAATTAACGGTAAATTAATTACGTTACAACATATAACAACAGAGTGAATATCGGAAGAAAGCTTACAAGCAGGAGAATCCAAAAATACACCAACTTAATTATTGAGTAACCATACCTCAAAAATGAATGCAATAACCTCAGGTCGGACGGTTGCAAGAGTTCACTATTGCTTCATATGTATCCCTTTATAGCATAAAGTTAGATGTGACAAAATCGAGTTGGCATCAGTTCATGAAGTCATTAATTATTGATCTGTGACATATTGGTAGGTAGGCAGTGTTGTATCCAAAGTAGATTAAATTACGGGTAACTTCTGGAAAGTATTTATGGACTGTTATTATATGTATATAACTATCACGTAGCTAGATTATATAAATTTTTTCTATTTCTCATATTATGAGTCTTCATTCGACCTATTGGTTACTGTTATACGATTTACTAATCTTAAGTTATCCCCAATGTGTAAGTTACAGTATCTCACAGTCACTTTTGGTCTGATGCTGTGTAATTGTTATTTTCTATTTTGTGATATAATGCGGTCTGATTTGCTTGTGTATGAACTGCTTATATCTGAAATACATGATTCATACAGTAGAAGCTGAAATTGTGTTCTGAACCCAAGCGTACAGGGTTAAGCAAAATGAAACAAAAATGACTCAGAGATGACTCTAGGCTACTTGTACTGGTTAACGTGTCTTTGGTTTGCACAGTGCTAAGGTCATATAACTCGGCATTCTAATTGGCGATTTAGTCACTTGATATTAACAGGTCCGGTGGACATAACATGCAGACTGCTACCTGGTTGGGATCTGCGATGACCAGAGAAATTTGGTGATTTGTCTCAGAATACGTTGCAATAGTCCAAATACATTCGTTCTTTGTCTTCCTTCTAATTTTTAAAATGATCTTATACTTTGCTATTCTATGTATCCACTGTTTCTTCTTGAATTATTATATTGCCTATTTTTAATCTTTTGTACTAGTATCTCTGTACTTGTTCCAATTATTTCATCTCGCTATAGTTAGGCCATATGATGTGACAACTTGAACCTATGTATATATGTATTTCAAGTTCACCGTTGCTCATCGCTGCTTAATGATTGATTGATGGACTAACACTCTGACCATGGTAAAAATATTCAGAAATTAGCTTTTAATACTGATTGCTTCTTATAATCAGTTACAAAATTCAGTTGGTTATTTTTTATATATTTAAGATTTAATTAATTAATTAACTGATTGTTAGTCTACTTCTAAAAACGGATTGTTGGTTAAAAAATACCTGTCATTGGTTGTATTGATAATAATTACAAAATAATCAGATTTATTGAAATGGTTTAAATCAATTTAAGGTTATTTTTATTTTATAATTAATGATGTCTGCCATGTAGTTGCATTATGACTGTTTTTTTAAAGGTTTTCACCATTCAGACGTTAATTATCAAGGTTAGTGTGCAGAAAAGGTAACTTACTGATATCGAAGTATTTGACTTTCAACCATAGAACCTCAGGCTTTAAATCCTAATCCATTTTTTTGGTGAATACATGTCTGTGAATTTACAGCGTGACTCCTCAATTTTCAATATGCGTGTAATATTTAGCATTCTTTTGTTTATTAAGTAATTAAGTGCTGCATATTAAAGTATTATTTTTACTGAGGATTTCATTTTATGTTTTCATTTTCCTTTTATTTACTTTTTCATCCGGAAAATTCAAATGCGCTACAGTAGCGCGTTTATGAAAGGAGTTTGTAGATAGCGTTCAATGATTCAAATGTATTCTCCTATGAGTTACACTCTTCTATGCATTACCGACCTACCAAATGAACAGAAAAATTCTTTAAAATGCATGATATTGCACTTTTACTGAACATTGAGAAAGAGAATGGTTACCATCACAAGTTATTGTCTTGTATCAGACAATTAGCTAGTATTAGTAGCTCTCTCTCATTCACGCACATTTTATTTATTTATTTATTCTATTTCAACACATAGATAATGGTACAAAGAGGCACCAAATATATATGCGCCACACAAATCTCATTCGATATGTGTGAGGGCTGTGATACTGCCCGAGTGCCCAAACCGAAGCAGGTGGTTTTCTTAGGGGGCCACACCCCGAGCCTTCGACCTGAAGGTCTGATCCACAAGGCAGTGGAGCATCGTAAGGAGATGCAGTCCCATGGAAGCCGGTGACCAACAATTGGTTCATACGCCATTTGTTCCCGCAGGATACTAGAGCCCATGTGCACCATTGGTTTGGAATCCGGTTAAAGTGCCGGACATTCGCTTTTCGTCCTCTCATTTTTGTAAACAACACCCTCGCTACGAGAAGGCAGTGAGTAGGACTTCCCTGGCAGAGGCTATATACGCGTGGCCGTGTGAGAGCATTTCGAGAGGTAGAGCGGACTCTACCCACTCTCGGCTGTACCAGGGCATTTGGGGGCCATTCACGCACAAAAATATACCTTTAAGCTAAGTTGATGAACTCGTACTTGTAACTTGTTTCTAGTAGTTTTCTATGTTTTAAATAATACCACGTTATGGTCGCCATTCATAAAGACACGCTCTTATGCTTAATCGAACCAACCTTAAAAATCCAGTAAGACTAAGAATCTCTACGACGCTTTATGCCACAGGGGGAATCAACATGTATATAATTGGGGGCGGGACTGATATGCATGAAGATATTTAATTGGTGGCTTCAAATAAGTGAATAATTCGCTTACTTGAAATAGTCTGTCAAGGTTTTCATTTCTCAGTCCTATGTGACAATAAGACAACAAATGCCTAAAATCACCCGACTCATCACCTCCACATTCCAGAAATTGGGTTTTCCTCTTCAGTTTTAGATATCGTGACTTCAAATAAAGTATTATTTGTTGTCTTTACACTATATGTGCCTATTTACTTGTCACGAAAATAGTTATAAGCTCATCCCTGATTATCTTTAAATAGTCAAGCAATTTAAGAAGTCACAGGTTACCCTCAACATTTTCACTTTCCTGATCATCTAGAAAATATATTCTCCGTATTAGTTTGTTTCAAACTTACTAGAAATTTCATTTATGATCTTACTGGGTAATTTTACACCCCTCATTTGTTTATGATTCACAGTAGAACTATCATGGAAATATTACATTAAATGCAATGGTATTTTCTCCGACTACATAGTTATCACATTGTAATCAATCTTCTGTCATATGTTTCTTTTTGATTATATTATTTTTCTTGCGCTCTGAATTTATTTTTGTTACTTCCTTTAAAATTTAGGTCCATTATCGGAAACTGTAGGTGATTTTTGGCAGATGATTTGGGATTATCACTGTCCTATTATTGTCATGATCACAAGGTAAGTCATGTTTGCAATGTACTCCTATATTTATATAAGCCGTTTATTTTGTTTTGTAATATAGGCAAATTTAGTTTTCATACGCAATGGTTTTCTTTATCGTGAATAGAGCGAAAGCAAAGTTTTTTAAGCAGAATACCTTGAATTATTTTATTTCATCTGCTTCTCCTCATCAGCTTCTTTCAGTTTGTAATATTTAAAAACTATAATTACGAAATGGCTTGAAAGTATGTACCTAAATAAGTTTAGTTAGAGGCCGTTTTGAACACATCAGTATGATATGATATGGTTAGGATGTAAATAAACTTAACAGACTGAATAATGTATTGCAAATATTCTATAAAATTAATAGTAATAAAAGACCAAATAACTAGAAGTAGGTGGTCACATAATGAAAAAACGCTGATAGTCAGTAATAATAGAACCAGTAAAGTTCACTCAATTAAGATAAGATTACTGATCTAAAAGAAAGTCGAAAAATAACTCAATAATGCGGTCAATTGAAAGATTCAAACAGAATTTTATTTAAATCACGAACTAATTCAAGTTAAAGGTAACCATTAAAAACCTGGAAGAAATGTTTCTATTATCAAAATACAGAAAAGCTTAACTATTATCTCTTTAGACATAAATCAAATTTCGGACGCTTGATGGTGATGACTTTAGAAAAATCCAGAATACTGGCTGTTTGTTAATCACCTTGAGAGATTTCAAGGTATCTACTTGGTGTCTTGTGTTCAACAAATATTTCCCGATTTGTTCCATTTATATTAAATATAACATGCTATAAGCAGCTGATGAGATCGGAACAAAACAAAACGAATTCATATAATACTGTTTAAATCTTTGTTCTCGTATTCTTCAAGATGATAAAGGGAACTATATGCGTAAAATTCCTTAATATACACCTTTCTGCATTCTCATTTACGTCACTGAGTTGTTTGGTGGTAGTATGTTGCAGAATATTATGAGGGACTTAAGTCAAGTTTTATAATGAATTTTTAGAGCCATGCTGTTTGTAAAAATCTTGCTTCCTTGTAACGTAGGCGAACACATATTTGCTTTACAGTTAAATGATTATCCTACACCGTATGCCACTACTGGTGAAGGATAAATTCCCAGTATTTTAAGTGATTCTAGAATAATGAAAATTAAGTTTTCCATGCGAAATAACCAAGGTGGTAATTAATCCGATCAGAATTCAGGTCATTTTCATTTAGTTTTAATAGACAACATGTAGATCGCTAAAATGGGGGTGTTTTTGCATCGGTGATAATTGTATTTTTTATATTTTACATTAGAATTCTTGAAGCTCAACGTTCCAAATGTTACTTATATTGGCCAGATGTGGAAAATCAAAAACTCTACTTTAGTTCTGGCCACACAGGTTGTCTCTATGCTCCTGCTCCATCTGATCGATCAAATAATAGCTTTTCGAAATTTAGTAGTAATAATAATGTTACTCCGGATTTTTTAATTGAAAATATCAAGTGTGAAAGTAATGGGAATTTTGCTCAGACAACACTACGAATAACACATTTACAGGTTAGTGAGTGTTATTTTTTCCCTTCAAATGATATGACCCTTATGCCTTTAGGTATGAAGCAGTGGTCAGTTAGGGTTATGTCATAGAGTATTAAGCGAAGATGATAAATTGATTAATGAAGTTGTGAACTTTTATCTGCTGAAGTGATTGGGATATGCGCTATTAATACCCGACCATCGGTTACCTTAATGTGCGATGTTTGTCAGTGTAGAAGTAGATGATAAGAAAGTTAAGACCATTCAAACCAAAACGTGACGCTGGTGTGTAAAGTCACTAGCTATTCATTTGAGCCATGTCGGTAGATGCATATTACTTGGTTTGGTTCTATGAAATAACAGGAAACAGTTGGCGTGGCTCATATGCATTGATTTTCTCTTCCTCGAAATCTTAGATTCCAATATTGTTTGACGCTTATTGATCTTTTACAACCATGTTTAATCTTCCTCATTGTTGTTTCTACTACAATTATTTCGATATTTCCGCTATTTATTGTGTTAATTTGATCTCGTCGTGCTATTGTGTACTACAACTTTGGCTAATATATATATATATATAGGCATGTTCAAACTTACTTATACTTTAACTTCAGACATACTGTTTATGTTTAATATTACGCTTTTATTTTAATAAGTGTAGCGGGAACACCGATCTATGCATTTAACTGTCAGTCATAAGGTTGCCGATTCAAACTCGAATCGACCTATTTAAGTTATACGGAAGGATAGTTTCACTATTCCCTTCACTCAACATTGATCCAGTTGATTTTGTTCCACGATATAAACCAACATCAATCCAAATTATTCTCTACACATGCCTGACAACTAGGTCTGATGTTCGCTTTATGGTTTACATGTAAAATCGACCTTATTTAGACTATCATTAACAAGTGAGAAGCATTGGACAGCTGCTTCGTCTTGGTATCCGACTCCTCTGCAATGGGCACTCACCAGGACCTTCTGGCCTCGCACCAAGTGCTTGAACTTTGGACCATCTAATGGTGTACGATTTCTAAACTCAATTAATTTACAATATCGTGCGACCATTAGCCAGTTCTCAGTAATATTTGACTCCACTAATCATGGCTTCTCACTAGAACTTCGAAAATAACTTCTCAACGTTATTCACTTCCAAGTGAATTATTATTCTTGGTGTGATGGACTTGTGGAGGTTTATGAATTTTATACTTTATATAACCACTGAAAACCGTGAAGCACTGGACAGTTGTTTCATCGTATTATGCCCACTTTGTCTGTTCATACTTTGGATTACATCGGGATTCGAATCTTTCAAAAATCTCATCATATATGGATGGGATATATGATATTATTCAGTTGCTCATCCATTTCTTCCGCTCAAACAACCACACAGTGTCGGTAGATATAATTGTATTCATCGAATCGATCGATATAAACTAAATATTTTATCATGTGTGTTTGTAATATGTGTATGTATTGACAGGTAGTTCCGTTTTTCACTCTGACATGCCATCTTTATATATGAGAAAGATCAAAATTCTCTTATACCCGCATAAATACTCTAACTGGTGGATAACTGAAGGGTTGATTTTCAATCAATAAGCTTAAATAGTCGATTTTTTTGTTGTCGTTCAATTTTGTGCCTGTTTAGTTTATTAACAACCAGCATAATCTTGTTTAGTATGTGTGTGTGTGCGCTCAAATAACTTCACATCAAGTTTGTAAGTTCAAACGGAAATGTTGGAGATTTTTAAAAGCGTCATATGAACATGTCGACAGGAGAAACTGTGTGTATGAAAATAATTGTGACGTTAACAGTTGATTATCTCAAGATTTAACTGCTCCCTGTTCTTGTAGACATTCAATTTATGGTTTGCATCATAGACTGACTCTAGCTAGATAAGCATTGAACATCAAAAGGCACTAGATATCTAAAGCATCCTAACGTAGGACTTCTTTTTCCTGGTTATATTTTTATCAGAGTCAGATTCATATCACTGGTAAAGTTTCACAACAAGGCTCTACAGATATCGAGTCCACCTTGGTTAGATTCTTTTATGTCTGCGAGGTTTATCGATATCACTCGATAAATTTACTAATCAGAATTCGAATTATAATATTTTTTTGGCCGCACGTATGTTTAGTCTATAGCCTATCGTCCCTAGTCTTGAACAATGATGCGTTTTGACCAACGCAGTTAATTTTAGGCTGACGTATGCTTCACTCTTGTTGGTCTACAGATTCGTATGTCTGGGCTAGCTATTATCACAATTCAATCACCCAACATCTATCTCAAAACTCGTTAAGCTATACACATGGACTACCGGACGTTACAACACACCGAATAAGCACTCATGCTCCAAGGATGATCACTTTATGAGTGTGACAGAGACCGAAGCAACTAGTAAATAATTAGCAATAATTAAGGTATAGTTAAACGCATAACAGAAGTTAATAAGTCCACTGAATGCTTACAGTAAGGCAATGATAAAAATACAATAATACAGTTATCTACTAATTAAACAATAAAAATATAAATGATCGTAAATTGTAAATTAGTCCAAAGAGTTACACTTAACTCATTATTCTTTCTGCCATGGCAGAGTCATTCTGTGATGTTAACTTCATATTGAAAAAAATTTCCACTAACCTTTTGTCTGAATAATAATCATACTCTCATCAGTGAATAACTTGAGGATTCTTAAAGTTCTATCAAAAAACAGTCACCAGAGAATTATTACTGATGCCAGTGTATGATGTTTACACAATATTGCAAATCAACTGGTCTTAAAAGTTGAAACCGCGGAAATTTAACTTAGCATTTTAAATATATTTTATGTTTGATCTAGTGTATGATCATGAGAGATTCTGATTTTGATTTTTCGATCGTTTCATCTTTGTTATAAATCAGAGACAATTAAATTATCAGTCAAACATTAGTAATAACACTTAAGCAGTTTTTTCTTTTTGCTTGTGAATATCATAATAATCATTTGGCTAACTACTCAAAATAATAATGATTATTGGTTTCTGGTTTAATGTTGCTTACAGTTTTATTGGAAATAAGTTATTGTTCACTAATTAATTAAATTACTGTTTACATAAAAAATTTAAAAAAATTTTTCTTGCATAATTGGTTTATCTTCCAGTATTATTGCACAGTAAATGGATAATAATTATTTACACTATCAATGCCCCTTTTTATTCTATTTTTAAAGAACTTTTCCATGCTTTAGTGAGTGTATATGTTTGTTTATGTTCAGGTTTTCACATAAATGATCTGTGTATGTATGTATTTACAAGTGTGTTACAAATTTTCTCTGCTATTCTTCCTCTTTTTCATTTGAAACAACTCATTCTATGTAGTTTTCCTCTTCATTTCTACATCTTGATTTTGGGTTCATCAATTTCTTCTTTTCGCACACGCTTGTGTACGTTCTAAACTATTTTCTAATATTTTGCTTTCAGTAAATAGATAAATGTAACTTCAATTCCTCATTTCACTCTTTTTTGCCTCCTCTTCAAATTACTTCTTATTCCTAGTTTTTTCTTAACGCTTTTCTTAAATTCACTTTATACGATTGTTCGTAAATGATCATGTTGTTTGCATGATGATTATGATCTTTCTTTCACTATTTTCTCTTTTTTTCTCAATAGAAAATATCAATTGGACTTTTTACCTGTAAATAGGCTTGGTTGCTTTATGTTTGTATGTAAGTTTAGGGTAGAAGTGGTTTTTGCCGGACCGACAAGGTGTGGTTAATTCTGTGATAAACCATCAGTTTATTACATAATTAGTTCGTTGACTGAAGTGAAATCTAAGTTAAACAGACTAATTCACCAGGTTATTAGATACGAACCACACTCTGAGCCCGAGCGCTAATACTACTACCCGATTACCTAAACTAAAGTATATGGATCGGGTTTCGAATCCGTTACTTAGCGGTTGGAAGTCGACCACCTTAACCATTAAGCTGCCACTCAACTGAGGTATATATTTTATATATGGATATGATATGTTTATTACCAAGTTGCCATCTTTCTAATAGCCTGTAATGTTAAGAGTTGGTCATCATCGACAGATAACTTAACCCATATATATATATATATATATATATATATATATATATATATATATATATATATACCACATTAGCTTTAAGAGAGCTACTTGGATAGATGAATAACAAAGGAATCAACGTAATATTGGATCAGTATTAATAAGGAAATGTCGAACACTGAGTAATATATTTCAGAAATACAAAACAAAAAGATATGTACAGTGGATTACTGGGTATCAAGATTTAAAGGAAAATAAACAGTCAATAGATTTGCACTATTATGACAGATTCTTAACTGTCTCTCACAACGTCTCTAACCAACGATCGCGGTTATCACATGGACCCCAATCAGTTACTATAGTCCCACAATCATAGCTTAGGTCAACAATCAATGACCTAATGGTTTGTCGTCATGTCTTTGTTCAACCACTGCTAGCTTTCTTCCAAAATACTCTTACAGCAACGAGCAACACTCGTCGAGGTAGGCCATGGTTAGGAGTACATAATATGTTCTGACCAGTGCAGTCGATTAATATTCACAACTTCATCAGCCAATTTGCTGTTTTGCTACTATGCTACACCTAATCCTAATACTACTCATTCGTTTGGCCCATGAAACGAGAGCCGTGTTTCAAAGCAAAGGGAAAATGAAACGAACTAGATGTTAAAAAGTTCTGGCCTAGTCATAAGGATTATTTGATTTGATATAGGACTAGCTGATTAAGAAGACTTCAGGTCTAATCATTCCAAAGTACAAGTAATCTATGGCAAGGAACTGTAAGTTTTATGACTGATGATACTTCGTGATCTGTATCGTAATCTTTTTGTTGTACATACTTGGTAGCACGTTCTACTGTTAATTGCTTGTAATGTCCTCTTTGTAGGTCACCCTAGTGTCCTGTAATCATCAGTTTCTTTTTCACTGCGGTGGTTTTCATTGAAAATATGATGTGTGCAAACTAACATTTACTGTGCCACATTAAGTTTGTATATCTGTAAATCATTATTGTTTATCATATAAAAAACCAAGTGTTGGGCTCCATACTTATTATGTGAATAAATAAACACAAATGATTTACTAGCAAAAAACGTTTTACTAGAATGTAAGTATTTGTTTTACCAGGTGTCATAAATTAATGAAAATTAGGCTCTGAAAACACCACCTCTTTGTTAATAATGGTCTTATAAATTACCTCTTTTCAATGTTTTTATGTTTATCCAGCAAAGCAAATGATTCATTACTATCTAAGTTCCAGTTCGTTTTTCTCAAAAATTGTATAATTCATCAACAGTTCTGTCTTTTTATACATTCATTTTATTTTTCTGGAAGTTTTATTTTCTCTAAGATGAATCATTTAGTTCTGTTCCTGTTAAAACTAGCTTCTTGGAGAAGTTCACTTATCTCCAAACGACGAGAAACACGCAACGTTCGTATGATTTTAAGATAATTGAGAATATTTTGATGCTCATGTTGAAGATCTTAGGGGTTGCAACTCAAAATTTATCATCTTGATTTACAGATATTTCCTATCATATGAAAGTTAGGAAAACGTAACACGCTTCTTGCTATTTGAAAATGGTAGAACTTCGCCAAGAAAGAAGCTTCTACTAAACTAATCCAGTTTAATGAACACAATACCTCCAGCATCTTCATTCTAAACTACAAACATTCCCCATCATCTCGTTTTATGTCGCATAGCCTGTTTTTTTTTTATAGAAAAATCGATACCTCACTGATGAGAATATTAATTGTTTGTTTCCACTCAAATTTTGTGGTTATTTCTATTTCAAATCAATACCTTTTATTTGTTATTTTAGCTACACGAAGTAAGGACTGTTGAACATTTTGCTTTCTTTTCATGGCCTGATCATGGTACACCTCAAACAACTGAAGGTTTACTAGATTTACTCACTTCCGTTCAATCAACTTATTTGAATGAAATTGAAAAATTGGGCTATAAAACCTATGAAAATCAGAAAATTCCACCTCCTCCAGTCGTTGTACACTGTAGTGCAGGAATTGGTAGAACAGGTAAGTGGTTTGACCTGTGTATTTATATATATAAAGTACTTATTAGTTATACATACTTATGCATACGTTTGCAGTAATTCGATACAATTCCCTGTGTTTTCTTCTATTATGCTGTGTGGTCGTACGAGTCTGATCCTAGTGTATGAGCTTCCTATGCGTGACCTCAGACCAGTACTTGAATAAGAAGGAAATTTTATTTACTAAAACCAAGTCGGGATTGTATGCAGACTCATTCATAAATATACATCTTTCCCCCTTAGACAATGTCAGATAATCCGTCAATTTTGTGTATTATTTTTGAAACTTCGTTTTATTGACCTCATGTATCAGCTTATCCTCCCGAAAAAAAATCTGGCCTCTTGGATTCAGCTGTTAAAACCGGGATGGCGGTACATTAACTACTGCCACTGATTCGTAGGTCAGTTGTTAAAGCTCTCAACTTTCAACCACATAGTCTCTCGAGGTTAAACTCCGTTTCACCTACTTGAGTTCGGATAACCTCACAATTAAAGTGGGGATTAAAACCGTTTACATATATCTTTACCTGGTAACTGCCTATTCAGTCCAATCAATACACGAGTTGAAGTCATAAAAATTTATGATACAAAATTTAAAGTAAAACAGTTTTATCCCTCTTCAAAGAACACTTCTCGTTTGTAGCACTGAAGCCGTTCCGTTGCCTAATTATTCAAAACATGCCTGGAAGATTTCAAAATTCAGGCTTTCTAGTTGCATTGTTGTTGTAAATTTCTAGTAACAATTCCTTCAACCATAAACGTATGTGTACAGACGATTTTAACCGAATTCAACTTATTTATCAATGTGATAGGAAGGTGTCGATCCCTGGAATAGCAAAACAAACCATACATATTCTATTTTTTTCATTAGTACTTGAAGCTCAAAATCGTCTTGGCTTCATATCATCCTTATAGTCCTAATGACGACTCTGAAACCTTTCATCCATTGAAAGGGTACTATCTTTTCTTCTGTCGTTATCTTCGTAAACATCACTAGAGATTTCATGGATTTTATGGGAGTTTACCGATATTCATAACTATCAGTTCTTTGTGGTAACCAAACAATCTGTAACTTTGTTTCCATATTCAGATACTTTTCTTGAAACGTCTGTGTTTGTTTTTACGGTTACTTTATCTCTCTTAAGTTAAAATTTTCCAATAAGATCTAATCAGTGAAGAGTTTGCTTCAAAATCTTAATAATCACTTCCTTCACCAAACTTCTTCATTTCTTATTTAAACTTTTAGTATTCTTATCAAGTTAGCTAATCAACCGAGCTACTCAAAACCTTACCGTTTTCTGTGGTTAAAGTAACTAAATGTAGCGTATTTCTCCCATCACTGTTAAATTGTTCTGATACCTAGCTTAATTCACTTCATGTATTTCACCCACAGTGATCTCAAGAGCATTTGTTAACCTAAACAACTGATGTAATCCATTCAGTTAATTGGTGTACTGAGACTTGCTTTATTTTTGAAGGTAGTTTTCAACGTGGACTCAACACTGTCTATGAAAACCATTAAAAACCAAGAGAGTATTGAGCAATTGTATTATCTTCATTTGGGAATCTTTAACTGTAGTACTCACTCCCAACCCTTATCTAAGCAAGATCAAATCTTGTTTTTTCCGAAATAATTTATATCTGTAATGACTAGGGTCCGATCTCGTGGGAGATGTTGAATATGTACTACTAAGAAATCACAGAGTAGGTTCGAACAGCTGCTAATATTTCACTATTTTAAATATTAATTGCAGAGATATTCATTAGTCTGCTAGCTTTAGATTATTCAGTTTTATGGGGAGTCTTTAGTTATCTACATTTCAAGCACGAAATAAAGACATGTAGAATCATAATAATAGTAATAATAATACATTTCAACTTAATTGTGGATACATTAAAATATTATCTAAGAGAAGTGTAAACAAACACAATAGTTAATGAATTCACTTGAATGTGACAAACCTGAAAACATTTAATTATCACTTCCAAATTCATAAGATCATGTAAATTGATTAGATACTGGTTGACCAAGAGATTAGATTGAACACTATGAATGGATAATGAGTATGAATATTTATCTCTTTCAATATCTTTGCGTCTTGTTGAATCATAAAAATATCAGACAACAGTTATTATTTAGCATAATTAATAATTATTTATTTGAACACATGAACATTGGTACAAGGAGATAACAAATAGATTTGCGCCATACAATAACAATGAGTTTGTGAAGAGATAGACAATGTGAAGTGAGCATAATAAAAAGAGAAACAACGAACAAAAATTAGTTATGAGAGTGAAATAATAATAATAATACGAGAAACAGTTCAGCTAGGAAAAATACAACCAGAAAGAATCCTTTCAGTTAAAGAAGTCACGTTCATTTTTATGAAAATAAAAGAGACTTACAGCAGGATCGCCACTGACTTCTATTCTGATCTATGTTTGATAACGTCTCTAGCCACTGTGTTGCACCATCTCTAGGACCCCAACCAGGAAGTTGTGAAAGACCAACAGAAACCAGTCCTGTACAGCTTTTCGTACCACGACACCATTTCATACACTGACCACCTCTCCGCTTTTTCCAACCGGTCCTAGCGTCGACCATTAATTCACGAAGTAGAATTCTCTAAGATGACATCCGTAGGACATGTCCATATGTATTGAGACAAGATAAAATTACAACAAGAAAAGATTTAAATAGTTTACACTGTATGGTTCGTCAGCTAAATGGGATTATTATTATTACCCTCAAATGCCGGGTGGAAATAATCCGCTCCCCTTCTCCAAATGCTATCACATGGCCACGCGTATACAACCACTGCCAGGCAAGTTCTACTCAGTGCCTTCTGGTGGCGGGGATGTCGTTTACGAAATTCAGAGGACGAAAAGCGAATATCCGGCACTTTAACCGGGTTGGTGGATACAGAGGATCCACCTAGGGGAGTTCGAAAACCCTGATTCCAAACCAATAGTTCACATGGGCTCCAGTATCCGGAAGGAACAAATGGCGTATGAACCAATCGTTGGTCACTGGTTACCATAGGACTCCATCTCCTTACGTCGCTCCATTGCCTTGTAGATTAGACCTTTAGGTCGAAGGCTCCGGGTTTGCCCCCCCTAAGAAAACCACCTGACTTGTGTGGCGTATATGTATTAGGTGCCCCTTTGTACCAATATTTATGTGTTCAAATAAATAAATAAATCAAAATTTGAAGTAGATAAAATTTTAGTTCATTGACACTGTTATGGCTTTATGTTGAGGTCGATTTTTACCCTGTGTTATCGATCGACTACAGTGACAGTGACACGTAAACACGAACGAACAGCCTAGAGTTCTGATTGGTCCTGCTTCCCTGTCCAGCCCAACCAGTTGAGTCCAGAACACAAGTCACAGCCTCGGATATATGAATCATTATATTTCAAACATACTTTGTTTATATACTAATCAAGCACACCACATCGTACCATAAAATAGAAAACAACATTTTGTACAATATTCAACAAGTGAACAGATATCGACCAATAGGAAATGTCCATTTAAAGTCCAAGGACACCATTGGACTTAACATGATAATTATTGGTGTATTCCTCTGCATCCACAACAGACACAAACATTCTAAATCACTGTTGGTATCTAATTAGATCGGCTTTTTCAAAAAAAAAAAATCAGTAATTGTTTTAAAAAACATTGACTTTTCTTTTAAAGTGGATGGCTTAGAGGGATTAATCAAATGATTACATATTGCATCCATTTACTAAAAAAATTTCATTAAATAAGTAAAAGGCATTTAAATGCCAATTTTTAATTTACCAAAAATGCAGTGTGCACTAATGAAGACTGAATAATTCATCCATTCCAAATTGATAGATATTCGTCATTGTTTCTCGTTTTTCTCTTAGGTACTTATGTAACTGTGGATATATGTACAAAATGGTTAGCTGATTCACGTAATACAGAGCATAAAATCAATATTCCTCTAACAGTCGCTCGAGTACGTTCACAACGTTTCGGTTGTGTTCAAGTATCGTCACAGTATGTATTTTGTTATCGTGCAATTATTGATTTTGCAGTGAATTCCGGTTTATTGGATTCGAGTAAAACTCAACAAGCGCTAGATTTATTGTGCACTGAATCAAATTCTCAAACATCATCCTCATCATCAGTATTACCGAATTCATCATTTTATCAATCCACCTCATTGCCTAGACCATTTCCTGGACTGATAACAAATTATATTAATGATGTTGCTAGTACATTATCGTCCTCATCTACTTTTCGATATCACCGAAATATTGGTAGTACTACTACTACTACTACTACTACCACTAGTAATAATTCATCCTTAGTTACTTCTGTGTCGATGATGTCTTCAAATTCCTCATCGCTTAATCATCACAGTCGTAGTCCATTCCATGAACTATTAGCTTTATTCTCTCCTGCCAGTCTGGCATCAATTAAAAATTCAATTCGCTTTAAGAAATATAAAGATGATCTGAATAGTTCGGACTTTTCCACAGTAAACGGTGTTCTAGATATGGACGAAACTTGTTGTTTGGATGTAACTACTGACAGCAATAACCAGAACACAAATACTTTAAATTTTATAGCATCGACAACCATTTTCACTGGTAATAATACCACAACTACTATCTCTGATAATATTAGTAGTTCATTAAGTAATAGCAGGAATAATAATGATAATAATCGAAGTGAATCATTTATTGTAAATCCACATTTCGATTTTAATATCTCCTCATCGTCTTCATCATTATCAACAAATAGTACTACACATTTACCCATATCCGGACTAACAGATACTACAACTACTACTCAATTAATAAATAATAACATTGAAAGTACTATAATTGTCCAACCACCATTCACTCGTCCAATGAAACCGGCTATTTTCAATGATGATAAATCGAATCTGACTACTAATAATATGGACAAATCTAAGTCTAATAATAGTATGAAGAAAATTCATTCGCCTACACAATCATCGGATACTGGTAACTCTTGATGAATTTGAATATTGGGGCATACCTCACAACTAATATTACTGGTAAATGTGCTACATTATTGTTATTGATAAACCTAGTTGTAGTACGAATTTGATCAGCTTCAATGTGTATACGTATGTGTACACTGAATTTTACAGGCTTCTCTTTACACATGTACACACGAAATCTGTCTTTTATTCTTATTGGTATTTTTGACGACCCGTCATTTGTCACTATCACTGTTGTTATTAATAGCAAATATACTACTTCCATATACTACTACTACTAATAGTAAAAATCGTAACAAATATAATGAATGGTACTTTTATGTTTATTATCAATGATATGCCAAATGCATTTGTCAATTAAGTTCTTATCTGTATTTATTTGACTATTTACTGCTAGTGTCGCTTCTTTTGTATTCGAGTAAAAAAATACTCGTTTATCAGTTTGTTTCTTGTATATGTTTTCCTATTCTTGATAAATCTCAAACTGTTGATTGACTTTTGTGTATGTATATGTATCTGTGTATAAACTCATACTTGTGTTTTTTGTCTTCGCTGTACGAGAAGGCTTCCTTATTTTCTAATGTTGTTCAATAATTTTCAAGTTTTTTAAACAAAATTCACTTAATAATTGTTCGATTCGTGTTTTTTTCAATCCACACCCCCCGCCGTCATCATTTTTTATGTTTTAACATAAATTTCATTAGTGCAGTTAAGAAATTCAAAGCGGACACTGGAACTTGGGTGTCAAATTTTGTTGCATGTTATTGTTGTCATTGCTTTCTCTCTCTCTCTCTCTGTATCATGTTAACTTTTCTGCTATTTCTTCACTTCACAACCAATTGCGATTGTTCCACATTATTACTACCCAGTATGTCTTCCTGTGGATTTTACTTTTAATCATTGTTATTTTTTAACACCACGATATTATTATTATATCAATGCAGATGCATATCCGCTCTCATACACATAAAAGATAGTACCACGTACACTTGCACATACACACACACAAACTTAATTCATTGTTTTCTGGATCAGACCAACAAGTATTATTGCCTTTGTAGTAGTGGTTATTGTTATTATTGTCCACTTCGTTTTTGTCTCTTACACACGTATACACAATACATGTTTTTATTCCTTACAGTCATACTACTGATCTGTATATGTTTTGTTTATAATCTTTAATTCATCTAGTAATTTTCTTTTCAAGTATAGAAAACAGAAATATTCAGCATGTTAGTTTTTATTCGATACATGTGTATTTGTAATAAATTGGTTAACTAGTAGTAACATTAGTAAGTAGTGTATAGTTTACTACATGAATCTGCAACAACATATATTTATATTGAATATTCTTTTCGTTAACTTAAAAACTAAAAGAAGGGAATATAGTTCATATTGTGTTGAATCATCCACGTGTAAATCTATACAATTCTGTCTCCTTTTTTGTCTAAAAAAGAATTTGTTTATTTATGCAATAATTTTCTTTGTTGGATTGACTGATTGATTGTTTCTGTGTGTGTGTGTATGTATGTATCTAGTTCCCCTCTCTGTTCTGTTTTACATGATGTTATAGAGTAATGTAAGATGGAATTCCATTTACTTATAAAATATTTATACATAATTATGTAAATACTTTTTAATTGAATATGAAATAGCAATGACAATTTTTTTCTAAATAAAACGTTTGAAGTTATCAGTGAACTGTTTATTTTCTTATATGTAACTTTTAATCACTAGGTTTCTGTAGTGGTTAAATTGCTTGCTCCGTTTATTTCGTCTTTTCTAGATACACTTGTATTCTAACTGATTATCAGATAACCATGCGATAACTGGTTTTTGTTTTGGTGTTATATATATAAATCTTAGTGATTTAATTTGACAAGCATTGACTCAAGATAGGTTTAATTGAAAAGGTTTTGTGGAAGTTAGTTTGATTTTTCGTTTAGATGCCAATATTCTGGTTCTATTGATCAATAGTTCGCTACGACACCTGAAGTTCTCGGGTTCTATCTCTTCTTGGGTCGTGAGTGCGCACTACTGGAGGCCCATACTTGGACGAAATAACTGTCTAGTGCTGGCTGATTACTATAGCACTCTAATTGAGAGCAGTTTATGACATATAACTTATATAATATTTATTTAGCTAATTAATTTAATACAGAAAGTTGGATTTAGTTAGTGAATGTGTATTAACTTCATACAATTACTTTTGTGGCTATATTTCAAGCCTGGTGAGTAAATTTGTTTTTATGGGCCAACATAATTCAATAATTTCTTATCATAGATTACTTCAAGAAGTAATATTAATCAGTCATAAGCAGCATAAGACATAGCAAATATATTCATCGTTTCAGATTACCACACTATATTGTCCTACATAGTGAGGCGAAATTATCAAGACCAATGTCACAGTAGTATAAGTATGGTGTATGCTACTTATGTCGCAGACATAAATAGTATATAACACCAATCAGAAGTGGAAAACCTGTCAGCAGATGGCTAAAAAGCTCAAATTAAAGAGAATAGAAAGAAAATTAGAAAGGAATTTTGAACTGCAATAATTATACAGAATGTGAAGAACAAATGATGGAAATTTGCAAATGAAGTATTCAGTGTACGATTCTCACATTTTACCAAGATATTCTATAACTTCCTTTTGGTTGTCCCCATCTGCGTTCTCATTCCTTACAGGAGTAACAACGGCATCGATTGAATAAAAAGTAGATTTTTTCAAACAAACCTGCGCTATTTCAACCGATTCCAAACTAACCTATTCAGTGTCTATGACTATTGGTAACAATAGTTGCTCAAGCAGGTCATCAGAGTCTACCAACATGTCTTATATCAAGGGTCGATAACTTTTTGGACTGATGCTACGCCTTGGTTTCAACTTATTCTCACATCAGCAAAAATCGTGAGTCGAGTTAAGTGGGATTCGGCATACGTAATACTTCCTAGCCCATTCAGCCTATAAAGGTTCATTAGGTCGGTTATTTTTATGTCCGTTTAGGACTACTAGTCTTAAAAGTGCTATTTGCATTAGTGTATAGGTTTCGCTAGACACCAGTCCTTAGAGAGTGCGACTCCATTGACACATGTATTTAACATTCATATTCGTCAGTTCATTCAGGAAATCTTTCCAACATCTTATTAGAGTCCTAATTACTATTCCTGAAATTTTGTATGACGACCGTCAAAAGTTTTCACTGTTTTGTCAGTCCGTTTTTGTTGGTTCCTATTGATTATTTTGCACTCTTATCATAGAATTAGCAAATTTTCTTACATGAAACATCACTGTTGCAATGCTGAGGGAGAAACCAGTTGTAGAGGTTAGTTATTACCTCGATTCGATAGTGCGGTATGTACTCAACATTGATTTTGACCTCTTCAGTTTCATTAGATTAAACGTATGAACAAGCATTTACGTCCTTTTTATACAAACTTCATTCGAAGTCACTAGGCTTGAACAAGAATCTTACGTGAGTAGTACCAAGAAACGGCGTGGATGCTTACCCATGCGCCTTCAGTTAGTCCAATTGGTTAAAACTGATGAGGTCATGCCCACATCAAATACTCATTGCGCTATTGATTTTGAGAAAATATTTGCTACTACAATCCCATTATATCTGTACCCAAGGACCCTTCGTGACCAAAGCGTGAGACTATAAATCTAGTAACCACTTCACTGATGCAAATAAAACATAGAACAGGACACTGTCAATCTAAACTGCTCATATTCACAACCTTGTTTGCAGCTCTAACGAAATCGATATTAAACTGCGTAAGTGTGCGATCCTGTAACGCAATTGATCGAGTCCATTTCTCCTTTTACGCCTATAGGTTCTTTTCAAGAAACGGAAAAAGGTAGGAATTTTCGACTGAATTACATTCAGATTTAAGTTAAATCTAGGAATAGTAGTAACAAACTAAATACTTCCATACTGTTCCATGTTTTTTGGCGTTGATTGGAGAAATATTTGAAACATGCTGGTTGGTATATCCTAAGGAAAACATATTCATTTAATATGAAAAGCTTGCTAGCTTCAGAACGCTGCGCATGACGTTAATTTTGGATGAAACTTGGTGAGTTTCCGGAAAGTTGGCAGATAGAGAATTGGTTTAATGCTCGTGCTATCATCACCAATAAAACGTCGGACCAGTGTCCTGGACAAAACACTGTTGGATAAATGCTAAAAACCTTCATTTCAGGTCATTAGTTTTCTTGATTATAAATCAGAAGGCTACTGACATAGCTTTTATTAACTCACCCAGTGCCACTTACTGGTAATGCAGTGTTCCGTCTCTGTTATACTTGTAGGTCTCTTCATCACCTACGATGCATGAAAATTAGCCAGCATGGTTGTGCTGATGACACCATGACAGACTTGAAAGTTTAAGTTCCTTAAACTCTTAGCAAAACATACTGGCGACATCCTGTTCGATTCATGTGTAGGATTTTAAGTTTATAACTCTTACTTATCAGCCTATCATTACCTCTAAAAGAAATTTAAGATGTACTACTATTATTATCCAGGTTGTATGTTTCTACTTACTAGGCTTTCATCATATGATAAATTGATTTCCTTTCTTCTATATTTTTCAAAAAACGATTGACTAATTCAACAATGGAAACTAATCATTTATTATCAGTTTAGGTGTTGTGGAGATTGTTAAGTTTTTGATTGAAATCATGAGTCGATTGAAGCTAGACTACCATAGAAAACCTGGAAGCACTGGACGGCCGTTTCGTCATAGTATGGGACTCCCCAACAATACGCATCCATGATCCCGCACCCCGCGAGATTCGAACTCAGGACCTATCAGCCCCGCGCCAGGCGCTTAACCAACTAGACCACTGAGCCGGCATCCAATGGTGTCAATGTCTAACCTCAACCGATTCACGAAATCGCGCGACCATCTTCCATTGTACCGAGGTAGACACCTGTTTCTACCCGACACGGATTAGCTCCACTGGTCACGGCTTCTCACCACAACTCCGAGAATTTTCTCACGAAGCTAGTCACTTGTGAGCACATGATAATTATCAGTTTAGGGGTTGTGGCCGTCCAGTGCTACCAGGTGGTCTAGCTTCAATTGACTTATGATTTGAATCATTTATTATTAGAAGACTTAAACAAGATGAATATGGTATCAGGTATATCTGAGATTAAACACAATTTTATGATGAATGATTTAAATATTAATAATAATATTGATATGATTAATGATAATAATCAGAGTACTATAGTTGAACATCGACAAAATGATCCTGTAGCTATCATTAAAACAAATGAAATCAATTATAATAAATCAGAAAAATAATTTTGATTTCTACAATTCGGCTTATTATTTATCATCAAACTATTTACAGGAGGATATTTTTCAAGAATATGAACTATATATTATGAATCATACAAACAATAGTATGGTTCAGTGATGGATAGTGGCTAACAGTGGAATCCGTCCTATTCGGGACTCGTCAGCTGGATGTACCTGCATCTCTAAGAGTTGATGTTCACTCCGGGACTCGAACCCAGTACCATTCGCTTCAAACGCCATCGCCTTATCCACTCAGCTACTGATTCCTGATAGCCACTTGCTTGTGCAATGGGGTGAATTTCAATTCACTTGGTATTGTTCGGTTTGTATCTTCCCATTGATGTTTTAGGACAGCAATTGATCAGTCTGTTATTGGCATATGTGCATACTGTGCGTATGCCTCGATATTACCTTAATTCACAAGCTATTTGTAAGCTGACGAGTCCCAAATAGGACGAAACGCGCGTCCTGGATTCCACTGCTAGCCACTATCCATCATTGCTTATAATGCTTGTAAATTAAGGCAATGTCGAGGCATACGAATAGTATGCATGATAAGTCGTGTAGGTTGAACGCTATATACGATTCCTAAGCTATTTCGGTAACCCGCAGTCTAGAACTACACAGCGACTTGAACTCCAGAGAGAAGACACAAGAATGAAAGAAAGCACTTTATTCCAAGGTTCATTTTTGTACAGAAAATCATGGGTATTTATAGATTTTGGCGTCTGTTAAATCAACATCATTTTACAGCCAATCCGATAACAACACATTATGCTACCGACCAATAGTAGCACGCCACGTTGGAATTCTAGAACGTTCCATCACACTCTGATTGGCCAGGACTCTTCGGCTCCTTGTGGGCCTCTGGAGGCTCCGTTGAAGTTCTCCGGAAGCCGACCCAACAATGCACATATACCAATAACAGACTGATCAATTGCAGTCTTAAACCCCAATGGGAGAATACAAGCCAAACAATACCAAGTGAATAGTATGGTTCATAATAATAATAATAATAACAATTACTCAAGTATCCAATTGAAACCAGAAAATCTAAGGCGTATTGAAAACAATAATAGAAATGATGAAACGTGATAAAAATAATCAACGAATATTTACCATTTAGTTGACTAAACCGAACCAATAAAATCATTTAAATACTGGTTTATTATCTTTAAATATTACTACTACTACTAAGAATAATAATAGTAATATGCATATCAATCCTGTACAATCAATTTTAAGAAGATTTTCAGCAACCATGATTGATAATAACTTGAGTATTGTTTATGCAATAGATTTTGGTCTTACCAAAAATAGATACAGTATATCTAACGTAACTTGTTCATTGATCATTATAAATAATACAATCAATTCTATGCATAATATTTCATATTTATGAATGATGTCACCTAATCTAACTACATTTGCATCACATTTGAGTAGTTTAAATAATTATTCTGATGTACGACATTGTATACCGATACTATCAATAAGTAATTCAAGTGAAGATTTATACAAAGGTAATATTGTGTTAGCTTATGATATTGAACATAAGTCAAATGGTTGGTACTTAATAAATAATAAGATTAACTGTGAAATAGAAGAGAAAAACAATAGTTTGAATCAATCACTAATGAATTCTATCAAGACTGTAATGTGTGAAAGAGTTAATTTCAATGAAGTTTGGAAATTTAAGCACTATTTAACCATCAATCCATCAACTCAACCATATTTAAGTACATTACAGACACTGTGTAATACTGTTGTGGTACGTGCTACTTATATTGATATAAGTAGTATATGACGCGAGTCAGGAATGTAATGTCTAGGAGCAGAAGATGGGGAAAATCAAGAAAGGAAGAGCGGGGATAGAAAGCAATTAGTATGGAAATGCAAGAACAACGAATTTCGAGACAATTATTGAACATTTTGCACATTAAGTATCATAGTATAGTTTTTCTATTTTACCAAGTAACTCTGTAATGTTGTGCTTAAAATATTTCGATTGTCCTCACCCGTGTTCTGTTCACTACACTGTTACTGGTACAATTCCTACTACTTTTACTACGAAAACAACAAATATTAATAGTCATATTTTTATTCCTTCACAATACTATCTATCTTGTTCACCGTCATATACAAATAACTATATAAGTTCAACTCTTTGTTATTCTTGTTATTACAATGATATATTCCATTAGATACAGAACATATCAATACTACTCATATTTTTGATACAAGTAATATTTTTGCCAATTAACAACAACAACAACCATTGTTACATCATACCAATTTTTCAAATAATAACACTAATTATCATTACATAAATAACACTTCAATTCCATCACTAATTTATATTATTCCTTCCAACAATCTTTTAATATAAGAACATGAGTTTATTTATGTTAAATTTCTAAAATCTTTACTAATATACATATACATTAACATGATAATGTATACCAGTGTTAATTCATTAAATTTACATCCGTACAATCTATCCCATGTGAAAGTGAACAATTTCTCTACATATTTCATATATCTTTCTATACTGACGGATCAATCCTACAATATTATTATAACTTATTATAATGTACACCTTTATACATAAGGTTTCTTGATTTCACCGCGAGATTCTTTGGCAGTGTCTGTCATTGAAAGGCGTACCTCACAAGTACATAAACCTTGTGAGGGCTCTTTACTCAAACACTACTAGTCGAGTCAAAGCTTATGGTTAACTGTCATCTGATTTTGCAACCTTAAGTGGTGTCCATCAACGCTATCCACTTTCTCCATTTTCATTTAACTTCATCATAGACCTACTGATGAAAATAACGCTCTCATCGATTGGATTTTCGGGTATTGATCTCCTACCAGGAAGTCCACTTATCGACTTAGAATACGCAGATGATATAGTCCTGTTTCGTGAGGATGCTGATAAGATGCAGTTTTTTGATAGCACTGAGTAACAATGCCAGGATGTTTGGGATGCGTTTCAGGACTGGCCTGCGTCAACACCTGAACTATGGATAGGGAGTGAAGTAGTCGAACGCGTTGACAGCTTCATCTATCGTGGATGTCTGACCAGCCCTAATGGGTTGGTGTCTGACGAAATCTCAGCACGGATTCGAAAAGCTCGTTTGGCTTTTCTAACGAAGCGCCACTGTTATATCCCGATAAGAATAATGAATGGTAATTCTTGGGATCCATTTATGGACCGATGCTATGAGTATGTTTTTATCGTGTAATTGTTATGTAACTAAACTTTCCATATTCATGTCCCTCTCATTATGAGCTTTATTTTGACCTATGAACTATTATTATACGGTTTACCATTCTTGAGTTATGGTCTGTCTATTAATTACTATCTCCCTCATTCACAACCACTTTTGGCTAAATATTGTACAAATGTTATTTCATATTTTATGGTACGTTGTGGTCTGTCTGGTTGATATATAAACCGAGTATGTTTGAAATAAATGATTTATATTGCAGAGGCTGAGATTGGTGTTCTGGACTTGAATGGCTGGGAGCGAGACCAATCAGAACTCTAGGCTGCTCGCACGTGTTTTACGCGTCACTAGTTCGATCGATAATTCGCTGCTCTATGATTGGCGGTATCGTTGCGTTATCCAATATACAGGGCACACAGGATCACAAGTTATAACAGTCACCTATAACGAATGCGAGATATCCGTCTATCAATTAAGGGACGAGTATACTGCGCGGCAGTTCGTTCTGTTCTACTTTACGGCTCTGAAACGTGGCCATTAGGAGTAGAAGATACTCGTAAGCTACTAGTATTTGACCACAGATGTCTTAAGAATATTACTCGCATCTGCTGGGATCATCAGGTGAGTAACACCGATTACCACTACACACAATGATGACTAGTGTTGGAGATTGTTGGAAGAAAGTAAGGGGCGGCCAAACCAAAACTTGGCATCAGTCATTGAAGTCACTAACTTCTGTTCTGAGCCATGTTGGTAGATGCAGACTATTCGGTTGTTGTCCGCGTGACTACTGTAACCACTGGTTGGAGACTCTTGGTGACATGGCTCAGAATCGATCAGTGTATACAGTTTTTGTCTTCCCGTAAACTATGAGATTAAAATCGCTTCATATCTTTCTTTCTGTACTATGTCCTTATATGCAATCTTTCTTTTATACATTACCACCTCTGAATTAACTACTTTTATGAATCCGGTGTTCATCTTGTTGTGCTAATGAGGTATGGCAACTTGAACAGATGCACGTATATGTCTAGTCCTACGTTGTAGCTGATTGACACAATGTTTAGTTTGGCCAAACTCAATTATTTCTCTTCTTTTTTTCTGAAAGTTTAAGTATTGTGCCGATTAAATATGTATTTTTTCGTACAAATTAAGTGTATAAACAGAGCAACATACACTTCGTTAATTGTTCTGTCATTTAAGTATAGAACCCTAAAAAAACTAGGAATTTTTATCCTATCTTTAACATTATGTTTTTTTAGAATTTCAATGATGAAAGTAGTATAAGCTATGCGTAAAGATTTCAAGATGTAATCGATGGTTACTTATACAACTAAACTATTTGCACTAGTCAATAAAATATAGAATACTGAACAGCTTCATGGATTGCCAAATATAGAAAACTATATAAGTGAGTGATGTACAGATTGATAACAATTGTTTTCAGTAGTCTATCACATGTGCATCATATATAATACATTGTTCGTATATAAATGATTTCCACAGTATCATAAATTTCTGTAGGTTTTACTATTATCAGATAAATTACATGATAATCTTTTGATGAAATTCTTTCATTGGCTTACATGTCCACAGAAAATAGATTATAGGTGTTTATGGTATGGAACGACTGACCAATGAGTTAACGCTAATCGATTGACAATTGTTAAAAGACATCAACTGAGAGAAATACAACCATATTTTTCCATAGTGCTACAACTATGATATGAACAAAAACAAAGTGCTGCTAGGAGTAGCGTACTTATACATTGTAACTATAGAAAAATCATAACTATAACCTAATATTGGGGAAAGAGTGGAAAAAAAAATCAACATAAAGTGTTGACTCTTAGTGTATCTGTAAATGCACTCTGGGAAAAATGAATTCTTATCCACTTAAAGAAGATATCGTTGTAACAGTTGTCGATAATAGTTTTAACTTACCTTGCAAATTGATTATCTAGAAAGTTGAAAATTCAGACTATCCTTAATTTACTGCTAGTACCTTAAGAAGTCAGTCTCTTTGAAGATCCTGTAAGATTTTGTGAGGAATTTCTTCGGCTCCAGGGATCAAAAACTACCCATGAAACAGAACACGGATGACTGTGAATTATATTGATAGATTTAATAACATATTAATCAAATTGTAAAGAAACACAAAAACGTTTATCGAAAACTAAGGAACTTTGATCTAAACCGTCACTTGTAATTAAAATTTCGCTAGTCTTTTACTCGATGGTTTTCCCTTTCCATCAAATTTACATTTGACTACTACAAACATGTACTTACATCTTGAGTCATTCATAACATGGATTTCTAAATGAACATAATGAACGTGAGTAGTCTCCAACGACATTAAACATGTTTCCATTACGTGATGTAGTAGCACTTTCGAATTCATCCCAACTGAATAAAGGGCTATCAAGGACAATATGTCAAAACGTGCCCATTCGATTTACTGACGCACTTCGCAAACAATAGAACATGAGAATACTACTGATCGAATTTAAGTCCGAACGAATAAAACATTTATATCGGTAAATGAATTCACAAAATAAACAGTTTTGTAACTCTTTGTTAGCAAGATAAAGATTGGATCGAAGCATGTTCCTGTGCAGGATTGTGCTGAGGCATCGTGATTGGATATTTCCTAGCCATTCAGTGCTGGCGGATACTTGGAGAAGACTTTAGAATCATTTTCTGTGAAAATTACAAATGTACTGACTTTTTTCTTAGTGTGATTCCTAATTTTATTGAACCTTGGTTATTTGAAATATAATTCTATTCCTTTTCAACAGTGTTCTGTTTTGGAGACTTGTGAAGCAGCGTGCAAGAATATTAAGCAATAAGAGTAGCTGGGTCGTATTAGGAGACTCATAACAGTCTTCGATAGTTGTGTTAACATAAATAGTTTTATTAAACACACCCTAGCTGGAGATGCTCGGTCAAGCGTTCTCACCAGATCACAATTAGATATTCTGGGCTGCTCATCTCTTCCATCAACTAGTCAACTTTGATCATATTCTTCTCGACTCACCGACCACATTCTGGATATATTTTCGAACTCTTTCATTCGTCACTTCTGCTTTGACTGCCTTTTGGATTATTGATTTCGTTTTCGTAATTAGACTTAACTAACTGTAGTTCGTAAGACATTGTGGAGATAGTCATCACGAACTTATTTTATAATTATTTTTCCTTATCACTTGCAATTTTTAGCTTTACATAACCTGCACATTTACTATTATTAACTGTAAAATTATTATCTAAAGACAGTAACCTTGATCTTCCAGTCCCGTTTTGTAGTCTCATGATATAATACATCAACTATCGCTCACAAATATACTGCTGCACACACATACTTCTGGTCCTCACTTATCAGTTGTCGCGATAATATAACTAGTATATTCGCTGTCTACGTATACGGAATGAATTGATATCCTTATGACGTGATTGCTTTGGATACACATCTTGTATTATATCAGTCATATTTGGAATCGCTGAATAATTATAGTTGTGGGTTGCGATACCAAAAATAGGACTCAAATATGTCTTGTTCTGACAATTTAAGTAACGCCCCATACTTCCCTTTATGCACAATTTATATTTTAGTATATTATCAATTGTCTCTACCTTTTTGTAATAAATTTATCATTATTTTTTAACTGATATATTCGGTCCACCGCAGTACTACTGATATTTATAAAAGTTGATATGGAAGTCTCAAACTTGATGATTATTAAATAGTTCTACCGTATCCTCGAACAAAGAAAAGAACTAAAACGTATTATTGTTTCACGACGATTTTTCCCGGTATTTCGTCTGTATCTGCAATGGTTTTAAAGGATTAGCGTTGGACGTTTCCAGATTCTCCAATGAGAAAGCCAAAAATCACACTAGAACAGTAAATAAAGTTCATGTAGTATTTAACAGTTTCTGTAATTTTCAGACCTAAACAAGGGAATACAATAAAAGAACTACCCACATATCTATTACGGAAGAATAACCCTCATCACTTGAAGTGATCTGTAATAATGTAGGAAAACAGATGTAGTTTCCTTGATATATCAAGCTTTCCAGCTAAACACGTCGATTAGCAAAGTACATGGTTCTATTATATCATTTGATCTACCATATGAATCAATCTCAACTAAGTGATTAGATGTGAAGGTTGAAATGCGAATTCATAAATCATATGGATGCTAATTTTTAGTTCAATTGCAGTTAATTTGGAGGTTTTGACCAGTTATTTCCAAATAATAAGCACAGAAGTAGTTTAATTATTGTATTACCGTGCAAGATTGTCCAGCGAAATTATCCTAGCAAAGACAATATTTCTGAATAAACAATATAAGTGGACACAGAAATCAGTTACAGTTGTATGTCTGAATAACTATTATATTGAACACTTACTACAGGCACCGATGCAGGTTAGCCGACCTATCGGTTTTTTTTTAAAACTTCCCTTACGAAGATCCCAAAGTCACTTAAGTCAGAAATCAGGGAAAAAGGGAAGAAATTACATATCTTATGCAAAAAAACGCTTTTGGTAGTGGTTTATATGAAATTTATATGGCTAGTCTAAGTGGGAATATATATGTGTTAAAAAGTATCCTAAAGCAAGTTAATCGTCTAGTAAAGTAATGAAACTCGCCTGGGTTGTTTTCGAAACTTAGATAACCCAATCGATTTGACACATAAAATGCCAACTGTGTTTATTAGTATCGACCAAAAGGAGGCAGATTAAAAACGCAGCTTTGCAACTAATTTCTGGTTGTCACTCGGTTGATCTAGTAAAAATCCAATTATCCCAGATAAATACGTGGCTCTCACCATATGAAAAGCTTGAAATGCGTTTAAAATCGCGGAAACAAAGGTGATTAGTATTTCACAAGAAGTGCATTGATTGGTGGAATTTTATTTCGTCATCCAAAATGTGACATAGTACCACCTGTTGAGGGACCTTAGAAGTGTGAAGATCTCTAAAAGTTAAGTGGGCAACATTGTTCCTTGCCCAGGTGATTACCCAAATTAGTTATTTACACCATCGTAATTCGTAATCAGAAATGAAATGTCTTAAAACTATAGTGCATTCAACAAATGGTTGTACGGGTGGGGGATTCTAAAAGCTGAGCAGTAAAGAAACAGAATCAGGAATCTCTTCCCACCAAGATATACACTGTCTAACATGTAGTGCGAAGGAATTTTCGACGTTTTCCTCAAAGAGTAAGGATGTATTATTACTGAACGCCATAGAGCTTAAACTGGAGGAGTTAGCCAATTATATAAAATGTGGGCCATAATATACAAACTTGTAGTGGCATTGGACCATAACCACACAATCCTCAAAGCTGAATACGAGATTACTCGGAAAATAGATATTCAATATTTAACGCGAAGAAATACCTAGCGATGGAGAAGGCGCGAATAAGGAAATGAATGAATTGGGGTTGATCGAATGGCATGGCTCGGTCATGCAGGCTTGGTTCTTGTTAAATATTACCTTACATATTTTATTCATATTAAATATATTGTTCTTTCTCTAGCCTAAGCTTGTTCTTCATCATGTATTGGTAGCTGTTACGATACAATGAGTTGGTTTAGACGATGATGTGACTTCCACGTAAGATCTTATAGATTAGGCAGTTATATCAAGACAAATCTACAATTTTAGGATAAGTTCTATTATTAGAGCAGTACTAATATTATAGTAGACCATAGTTCTACAAACTTTCACAGGAAAATAAAAGACGCCCATGTAGGACGCTATCAAACTTCTGAGGTTCCTATTTTAGAGAAAAGATGTAATATCACGGAAATAAATAGAGATCCTTTCACATCACCACTTGTAAGAGACAACCGTTTTAGTCACCAACAGACTTGTATTCTAAATAATAGGCGGAAGAATGTCTTCTGTCTTGCAGTTGTCAAATTCTGTACCCTCTGGGTGCAAGCTTAAGTAAACAGCTCATTCATGAGCCAATGGTCATGGAATGCCTAATAAACTTCACATATAACGCGTCAATAAGTACCAGCGATATACTGGGTGATTAATAGTGGTTGTCAAAATATTTGTGAGGATATGCATCGACGGAACAATGTCAGCCAATTTAAAACAGGACATGATAGGAACTAATAAGTGACTGAGGACTCAATATGGTACCGAAAATTAATGTACTCAATCAACAACCGCGCTCTACGGATTGGACGTTACTTTCAGGCCGAGGTTTTTAGTTTTATTTTTTTAGGATTCTCGCAGAGCTGGATGAATTATTTTTTCTTGGAATTATGGAAGTTA